AATTTTATTCATGCATATCATGTAAATATGCATGTAAAAAGAATCATCATTCCCTTCTCATATATGGTTAAAACTATAACTTTGATTCATTTACACAAGCATTTTTTTAATTTCAATAATAATATACAAAATAAATTAATTAAAAGTAAAATACTAAAAGACATATATATAAGCCTAATCATATCAACAACGTTCAAATAATATAGTTACGTAAACACGGAAAAATTATGTATGAAAAAAGTATGAATTGTTTCATTTATTATTCTATTTTATATAGTGTACTTTATAATAACATGTTCTGCACAACTATATACAATTGTTTTGTTTATCTTAATAATTGATACTACGTTATTAAGGTTATTTACGTACAGGATGATGCCCTTATAGTGTACCCTTTATATTCTTATACTTAATTAGATATAATAATGTAATCTCTAATATAACGACGACAGTCTTATGAGGTCAAAGATGTATTTATTTATTTTTGATATTTATAGCCATAGTGTAATGGTTTAAACAACTGCACAAAAGAAAAAGCTTAAATTAATGGTTTTATATTGTAATATTAAATCGTAAAATATATAAAAACTTGATAATAAAAAAATACCAAAAAATAATGTGAGCACAATTTATATGTACATATATATGTATAAACATATATGTGCGTGTGTAAAGTAATTGTAAATCTGTTGTGTGACAAAAACTTATTTGAGATATTTTGGAATAATATTCTCCACACATATATACATATATGTAATAACTAGTATTTTCAGTTAATAATTTCATCATCAAACACATTAAATATGTTTTCTGTTAAGTAATATATGATGTCAAAAAAAATAAAATTTTAATAAAATATAAAGTGCTTATAATAAACCATAAATTTTATAATACTTTATTTATACTTAATTTTATTAATTAGACAAGAAATTATTTTAATAAATGCATACTACTTACACACTAAAAAATTGTTGTATGCTTTTTATATTTTATATAATATTTTTATTAAATTAATTTCCTTAATGTGTTGATGAAAGTTATTATATATTCTTTATGGGTAAAAAATATTATCTACATCACACTTGTTAAAAAAAAAATCAAATATTTCTTATGATACCCATAAATGTATGAAAAAGGTTCTTAAAATAATTAAAAAAACTTGTGATATCCTTTTTATACTTCTATGAATAATGATATTATAGTAATTTATAGATTTTTTTTAAATAAACAAATAAACATAAGCAAAATTTTACATAACAGCAAAGATCATAGAATAGTCTTCTCTGAATTGTAGAATTATTAAAAGGATATATTAATACTATTAAATATATGTAAACCTACATTATACATAATTTTAACATTTGTTTCTACGCAGAACAACCTATATATAAAATAAATAATTGCTTCCTATTAATTCCCATGTACAGCAAACAATTCCCATTTATATTTAAAAATATTGCTTCATAATTATATATACTAAAGTAATATAATATCATTTCACTATTGTATGGATATAAAAACTGACATAGCAAACATATAATGTTTAACTAATTTTTTTTTATAAACACATTTAAATGTATGAACATTATAAAATAGTTACTAACACATCCTACAAAATTTAACTATGTTTTGTAATAAGAAATGAATTTTATCGTTTACTATCTGCGTGGTGTATTCTCTCAAAATAATATTTCCTTTATACATAGTGTTAAAAATATTTTTCTTTCTCATAATCTGTGTTTAACACATTTATGTTAAGTCCCTGCTAAAATTAGTATATTTGTATAACAAAAAAATAAGACAATGTCATATTCATTTATTATACTCAGGATCATTTAACGTTTTAGTTCTATTAATTTTTTTTTAGTTATATTTACTTATTCTTTTATGTAAAATATTTAAATTTAATTTTGTCCCTAAATAACACAGTAATATTATGTGTCCATAAATCTGAAGGAAATAATAGTTCATAATTAACATAGAATTTTCAAGGAAAAATTAATACACCAAGTAAGTACCATAATAATATACACTTACCAATCTTTGTTTACATGAAGACGAAAGAAAAGTGCAAATATTACTAACTTCTTATATAAAGCCAGAAGAAACTTGAACTGTAAGACAATAAATCTAATAAAAGCTAGGATAATAATAGAATGAAAAAATTATAAATCAATAAAATGATTACTTCAACAGTTCATGAATAATAATAATTCGATAAAAAATGGAAACAAATATATTTTATTATAAAAAGCACATTAACCTTAAATAAATGTGTGTCCATAAATTTTATAATAATATAAATATATGATACACGAATTATATGTTTTAGTCTTCAAATAATATTTTTATCCTTGCTTATAATGTGTAATTATGGCTCTAATATTTTACAGTCTCAATGGATAATGTAGTATTACAAGACATGATGAAATCGGGAAATATTGTTTATTTAAAATTATAAGATCATTTATTATACTAGTTCAGGTAGTTAAGTCAAGATAAGTATTAATTATTATTTAGAATGTATGTGCTTTTAAAAAATAAAATAAGAAATGCAATACTGAAAATTAATTACATTTTACGTCTATTAATTTGTTTTACAAGGCGCTATTATTCATTTTTAGTAATAAGAAAAAATATGTCTAATTAGAAACTAAATTGAAAGTAGCAGGGATGTATAACCATATGCTACATAACATGTACATAAAATAGAGGAAAGAAAAGAATCAATTATTAAAAAAATTAATTCTATGTTACATAAAATTTTAAATGTTTTAAACTTAAACTGAAGAATTAAAAATTTAAGTTCACTCGCGATCATTCTTGTTGATTATTATTTTGCATTGGTCATTTTATGATTCTAATTAACACAGGTTTAATGAAATATTTCCTTAAAAAATCAATGTATCTTTAACAATCATTTTAATTTATGAGTCTTTAAATATATATAATATACAATGCACCTTAAAAGTACATTTTAGAAATTAAACAATGCACATCAAATTATAAAATATGTTTTACCTGTCAGGACATTGTAGTTTTATGTGAAATAATGTTATATATTTCATTGCTGTTATAAAGAAATGAACAATTTATACAGCCCTTTTTGAATGGAATTTTTTTTTTTTTCCTTATCCAAATTTAACATAATAATAATAATAAAAGTATCTATAAAAAAAGCTAATACTCGTTTCATGCATATATTAGTATTTTGTTGTGGACGGGAAAATATGTGACTAACTTATAAACATATAATTTTAATAAAAAACCATAATATTCTGTAAAAAAGATCCAATATATTTGAAAGAATTATATAAAAGAATTTTTTATTTTATTTTAATTTAATAATCGTTATCTTCAGTTTCTTAATAATAATTTTGCTCATTAACCGTTAATAAACTTGATTATTTACTACAAACTTAAACGTGTCAATAATAATGAAACTTATATTTTATAGAATATCTACTTCAAGCATAAACATAATCATATATAATATAATTAACGAAATATTAATATTCCGAAAAAAAAAAAAATTATGCCAGTAACTACATAAAAAATACAGAAATTTTTAATTAAAACTGTAATTTGTGTTATTTTAATATCGTGTCCTATTAATAAAAATGCAATATTTTTTATCGCATCATTTATCAATTGCATTTCACGAGGAAGCATTTCCTATAAACTACGTTCATCCATAAAATTATATTTTTCTAGGTAAAAAAACCTTCTATTATGAATTATTAAATAGATCCGTCTTATAAATAATACCATAGAATAATAATAAAATTACGAAATATTTATAATTGTACGTGGAAAAAAAAAAAAAACGTATGCAATAAATATATATATCCCCAGCCTAAATCAAGAAGAAAACCCTTATAAGTTCCAGATTAATGGGATTTCCTTAAGTCTAAAAAAAGCAACTGCAACATATGAAATATTGTTAATAAATATTGTATTTACCATTTTTTATATGTAATTAATGTTGTTAATGCAATTCTTTACTTAAAATAAAATTTTTTATAGTAGAGAATAATATAACAGAAATATTTAAAAAAATTAAATATATATTTTATTTGGCTTCTTTGTTTCTATTCTAAATATATTAAATATACAATATATTATTATTTCCATTACATGCAATATATCTAATAAAATACACAAAATATGTGACAAAATGTTTTTCATAAGTATCTTATCAAAATTTAATAATGGTCTTAAAATTTTATAATGATTTATCCAAAATATATATTAAAAAAATATATACGTATGCTTTTTCTTCGAAATATTTATTTTTTCAAATATTATTTTTTATTATTCCGAAAAATTTTTATTCTTATATGTAGCTTCTATTTACTCAAAGAAATAAAAACTTCATTAGTGATAGTCTAATTACCATTTCTGTCTTTTAACATAATTTTTTACATAAAATTTGATGTCCTTTTTATTTATTTTTTTATAGCATTTTTCATTAGACATGATGTTTCGTACTTATAATTTTTGAATTGTTAATGTGTATTAAATTTTATTTTATTCTACATACTCTAAGTTATGTAATAAGAATTATTGTTTCTATTAGTTAAATAGTCAATATAATTTAAATGATTTTATGAAACATATTAAGTGCAAAAAAATATTTATTCTTAAAATAATAAATCATTAATATTCGATATATAACATCATTTGAAAATACTGTTGTATATCTTTTATTTATGAACTATGAATTGCTTTATTAATAATAAATAAAACTATTTCATTATATCATCAGTGACATCATCATGAATATAATTGGATTGGTTTTAATAAAACCCTGGCACATAGATATATTTAATTATATTTTATACCAAATGAACATTATGTCTTAGTATAACTAATCCATATGTTCTACAAATAAATTATACACATTTAAATGGATTTTGTGATATAAATAGCATAAATGGGGAAAAGGTTAAATGAGTTCAATATTATAGTAGCATTTATAATGGCATTAGAAATATAATATGAAGAAAAATATAAAGGGACTTAAAAAATCATTGGGAAAATGGGAAGGAGCTATGCATAAATTAATGCTTATTAAGAGTACCAGATTATATATACAGGACAATGGTGGGTGTTTAGAAACAAGGATTGAATTGAATAAATATAATAATTTATTTCTACACGTATTATCGTTTAAATTGTTTAATTTACCCCCAAATCCCAACTATAATAAGACTTTAAAAAAATGTATTAATTTAATAGTAATATCACATACTTTTTTATTACAAATCGCTGTTTCACAGAGAACGGAAGCAGAATCTGATGGTGCAGAGATTAATGGTAAATCAGGTGCAACAGTTACTGTAGGAGGTAGTGCAACAAACAGTGCAGCAAATGCGGGACATGGGGGAAAAGCTGTTGTAAAGGAAGGAGAACATTTTGGATATTTTGAAAAGGTAGTCAAGGTAGTTTCTGATGCTTATAGTACTGCTAATAAAGCATTGGCACCTGTATGTTGTTTCCTATTGAGAACAGAAAGAGATAACGAATGTAAAAAATCATCAATTATAGTAATACTTATTTTTATTATGGTCGCGGTGGCAATAGTTCATTATGTTTATAATCAGGTAAGTAATTAAATTAAAATAAAAATATATAAAATAAATAAAAAAAACTATAAATTTATTTTTGAAATTTTATTATTATTAAATAAATATATTATATATATTATACTTTTCAATTTTATATTAGGTTTTGAATTGTTACAATTCATGTTGTAGGAAACCACTAAGTGAATATAGAGATTATTATTATTATAATCATCCATACTACCTACAACATTATGGAGCAATGTGCGAAGGTTCAATGGAACAACAACGAATAGTATCTCAGGAGGAATCATCTCCCCACGTACTTAAAAAGCCATTGCTATATCAACAAAATGGAGAACCAGAAAAGAAAGAAGAAATAGAAGAAGAAAAAGAAGAAGAAAAAGAAGAAGAAAAAAGAAGAAGAAAAAGAAGAAGAAAAAGAAGAAGAAAAAGAAGAAGAAAAAGAAGAAGAAAAAGAAGAAGAAAAAGAAGAAGAAAAAGAAGAAGAAAAAGAAGAAGAAAAAGAAGAAGAAAAAGAAGAAGAAAAAGAAGAAGAAAAAGAAGAAGAAATAGAAGAAGAAAAAGAAGAAGAAAGGGAAGAAGAAGAAAAAGAAGAAGAAAGAGAAGAAGATAGGGAAGAAGAAGAAAAAGAAGAAGAAAAAGAAGAAGAAAGAAAGAAAAAAAAAAAGGATATTTATAAACGTAAAAATAAAAACAATGATACAATTGATCTAGAAAATAATGAGATGTGTAACTAATAATAAAATATATAATTGTAATATTACCCATAATTCTGATTATTGTCCCTTATGTAAACGTATTTTTGTTAAAATTTTTTTTTCTATTTCTATAAGTAATATTATATTTCATTGTAAATATATTAATCAATATAAAATATTTCTTATAAACGTTACCTTTTTTCATTAGAATATTAACAATGTCTAACTGTTTTTATTATGAAATTTTCATAAAAGCTGTGTAATTTAATATTAAAAAAATGGATAATTTCTGCTTTAAATTTTAGCTATTGCATTATAAAATTACTGTACCTTTTTTTATTGATTTACATTTGTGTTTGTAACAAAATTAAAATATAGTAATCATGGATCATTATAATATATGTTTTTTATAGGAAAAATATGTTACCTCCTTTTTTATGTGTAACATGAGCATATTCAATTTTATAACATAAAAAAATAAATTCATGCGTAACGAAGATGAAATTTTTTTTGTTAATATAATAAATGTTATGTTTTTTTTTTTCTAAATAAAAAATAAAACTTTATATTTGAAAATATTAAATGGAAATTGATAAAAAAACATGAACTAATTAAAAAAAAAAAAGAGATATAAACAGAATTTTAATAACTTATATTCCAGTGCTCTTCTTAATTTCATATTAGTGCTATTAAGCTCATTAACCATTTTTCCATCTATAAACATTACCACATATGCTAATAGTTAAAGTTATGCACTCGTCCATGTAAAACTTTATTCTAATGTAAAATAACACTGTTAATATTTCAATCGGTTACTTTTGTAAACATATTTTGTAACGTTATTATTTTTTCATAAAATAATATATTTTACAAAAAAATGTAAAAAGTAATCTATATCTTTTTTTTGTGTTCTATAATAATACAAAAAATTATATTGGACTTTCTCAAATATGGTGGAATAAATAACAAAAAAATTTAAGTTGCAGTTGCACATATTTTCATTTAATAATCCGTAAATTACATTTCATAATGTATATAATATAAAAAAATAAAACTGCTAAGAAATATCCTATTATTCAGGTATTTTTTTCATTTAAAATAAGAAGTGAACGTTCCATAGATATACACGTATATATATATATAACACGTCATTTTTTAAAGAACATTCCAACTTCTCAAAACATTTCACATAATATTTACGCATTCATATAACCCTGATATGTTATCACTATCTGTTTATCATTGTTACTAATATCATTATGTTTTCATGCATACTCATATTAACAATCTTTATGAAAACATAAACAATAAAATGCAGTTTAAATAATGTTCATACTAAAATAGACAACAACAAATTGAGGCATATAACATTAGAAAAATTCTGAAAATTATAATAAATTATTAAAAAGTATATTAAAAGATCCTAACAAAATAAATAACATGTTTTGCTATTTTATGTGTATTTTTATTTAAAAAAATGTGTCACTTTTGTCATTATTCTTATGGAATTATTATAGATAGCATGTATGTGAATATAAATGAACACATATTAAGGTATCAATAATAAAATGTAAAATGAAACAAAAGTTAAAATATTAAAGCAATGTAAACATAGCTTTAATCAGTGTGATATAGTGTTACAGTGTAAGCAAAAAATTAATATGTTAAAATATTAAAGCAATGTAAACATAGCTTTAATCAGTGTGATATAGTGTTACAGTGTAAGCAAAATTAATATATTCCTAATTTTAGAAAAATGTAATAATGAAAGACGAACAATTTCAGTATTAAAATATTCTTAAACTAAATAAGCAATGGGAATATACATTAATTAAAAATGGATGCATATATAATACTTAGCTTATTATTTATTCATTTTCTTTTGCTGCGTCAATGACTATTTATTAAACAACTCCAATTATACATATGTTAATAAATTAATACATAATTTTGTTTCTTCCCTCCATTACAGCATTAATCTAGTAAGGTAAGAAATTTTAATTTCTTCATTAGTATACCTCAATGGAATTTAAAGGTTTTAAATTATAATACGTTCATTATGTACTATAGGCAGCAATTATATTTGTTTAAAACCAACTACAAACTTTACAAAACATATATTTTTTTTAATCAATATATGTAGCTAACTAATTTTACAAATTATTTTTTTCAATGATTAAGAATTACCATTTTTTCTACAAATGTACTAGAATATAGCTAAAATAGAAACTGTATTATTACATTACTATCACTGCTACAGCACTAGTATTTTTTTAAATGTCATGTATTTAAGTTTTTTTAAAAAAACATTTCTTATAAAAATTAAAATGTCATTCATAAATTAAAACACTAAACTGTGACTGTTAATTATCTTTTCTTATAATCCATAAGGAGAATGTTATAAAACATTCGTTTATAAACTGTATTTCTCTAAAATATGAGTCATTAATAATAATATAATTCATTTGTGTAAGTATTAATAATTAATAAAATTATTATTCCTTATAATATTACATATTTAAATTATTTTTATATTCCTCAAAAGAAACTATAATTCAAGTTCAAATTATTTACTCAAAGTTTCATTATTAACAATTAACACTATGGTATACAGATTCACAATAATAACATTTGTTATACAAGAATAATAATATAAACAAAAAAAAATAAAGAGATATGTGTAGTTGTAAATTAACAGTATTTTGTAATATTTTCTAGTAATGGAATTACAACAAATCAATCAAACAATTAATTTGTATAATATACAACTGGTGGAGAACTAGGAGATATAAGAGATTATAAACTGATATATTTTTATTTACATATTAAGATTCCTAGAAGTATTGAATAGTTAATTATAAATAATGGTAGAGGAGCGCAAACATTTCACCTTCAAAAAAAATAAAAAATAAACAAAATAATTCTTCAAGTATTTCACGTTCAAACAGCTTCTTTGTTTTTATGTTTTATTTATAATAAAACATTTACAGAAATTACGAATTAATTAAATAATTGTGCGCATAATGTAACCAAAGAATAAATATCATTTAACTTATTTAATTTATGACAAAATTTGTGCATTATTAATGTTTCAACAAAATTCTTAAAACTAATGAAGCTATATCATATTTTAATATAAAAAACTTCTGTTAATATCCCTTAAATTTTAGGATGAAATCATATCTCATATCACAAAAGTACAGAAACTTTTTAATATAATGTAACTTCAATGGAATCTATATAGGAACTAAAATGTATAAATTGTATCTCAAAAACGTTATTTCCATTATTTTCGCTGCATAAAACTCATTTTTTTAGGGTGCAAGATTAATAGTTCCAATTACAATTTTTTCTTTTTTGTCAGAATTTATTCTTTTTTATGCTTTTTCTTATAGGTTAAATGAATGAAAATGTTATTTAAAAGATTTTACATTATAAAATAGAATCTAATTCTTTTACTATGAATAATTTTGAATAAAGAAAAGTATGTTATATATGTGTATGACATATTTTTCAACTGTACATTAGTGTAACTTATGCATAATTGTACCTTATAACCCCAAAAATAAATTCTGAATGAGCTCAATGTTATCATACTTTTTATCACAACAGTTGGAAAATGAAATACACGCATTTGGATTGCATGAAATATACGTGTATCAAGAAAAAAAGAATTATGTAACAATGCTAAAACTATAAATATATCAATACTTAATGTCAAATTAATATATATATCAATGTGTGACAAAAGAAACAATGTCATCGAATTTACAAACACAAGAAGTAAAAAAAAATTTTCAATACCCTCTTATAAATAACAGGACACAAATTCCTTGGAGGATGTGCATAATCTAGGATAATATGCATAATAGTAATAAATATAAAAAATATTTATGTCATAAATGAAATTTTCTTAATTATGTTAATTTCATATTAACCATTATGTACTCTATTACTCATCTTTTTTTTTTTTTTTCTTTTTTTTTAAAAAGTTAAAAATATATGTTACCTTTAAACGTATAAGCTTTAAATAATATAAACAGTGTAATTTACAAAAAGAATATAGAGTTTAACAAGAATATAGCAAATTTTCATTTCTTCCAAAGAGAATAAAATTATTGAATTATAAATATCATTAGGTCTTGTTTTTCTAGACACATGCATATGAATTTAGTGTTTCGTTTTCATATTTTTTGCGTTCTTGTTTTATGTGTTCTATCAGAAATGGTCTATCTGATTTAAAGGTTTAGTGATTATTATTTTCTTTATTCTTATGTAATGGATTATATAAGTTTACTAAAAATTAGATAGTTCATCTTACATTGGTTAGATTTATATATGATGTGCAGTCTATGTATTCTATATGTTAGTAAAAGTATATGACAAAAATATAAATTAATACTACGATTCTAAATATATATTTTTTTTTATATTTAACCTATACACATATTGGGGATATATTTTTATTGAGGCACAGATATTTACAGATGAATCCATATCACATTATTTTCATACATATATCTGTAACACAAAGTCTGTCATTACCATTAAAATTTAAGCGCTTGTGAAAATTATATTTCTTTATTTTATAAAGTTGGTTATCAATTAATACAATTATTTAATAAAATAATAACATGGTAGACATCTAATATTAATTTTTATGTATAATGTATTCATTTAATTTTTTTTTACTAATTATTCATGTGTAAATTAAATTTTAACTTCCCTTATATATATATAGTTCTATTTAGTATGAAATATTTAATTCATTTCATTAAAATAGATTAGCATTAATTAAAATAAATTCACATTTAGATAAGTTTTTTATATCTTTCATTCTTTTTAATTGAATTCCAACTGTTTTTTGCTAATTTTATTTGAGCTTAACCTCCCTTATAATACATTTATGAATACTACACTAAATTAATCCCATCACAAAGTAAAATATTAAACAATAATTAACAAAATGATGATAGCCCATGAATATTTTTATTTCGATGAATGTATAAAGAAAAATAAACTTAATTATATTCTTAATGAAAATTTTGTAGAATTATAAAATACCATGGAGTAAAATTACGGTTTTATATCTTTTTCGAAAAAGTTTACAACTTCTTATTTAGTTTGAGTATTACACAATTGCAACAACGGTCCGTAATTGTTATTTTTTATGATTTATGCTTTTTTTTTTATCTGTGTTTTATTTTTCAATATTTATTTTCTTCTTATGCTATAACATTACACATTATCAGGTACATATTTTTTAGGGGGTCATAAATATAGAAATCAGGAAGCTAAAATAATGTAACAATATTTTCTTAAAGTAAAAATCGATTCTTTCTATATGTGAAATAAATGATAAGCTCAAGATAGCACTACAAAAATATTGTGTTAATTGTGTCAAAGTGATAAGGCGTTTATTAAATAATGAAAATATTGAATTCTGCTTCTACAGATGTATCAAATAAGCAAATTTAAAGTCGAAGTATATTAATTAGATAAATAAGTGATACATATATAGGATAATTAACAAAAAATATTTGTTTTTTATTAATAGGCTTCTAATTTAAGAAAAAATCATTAAAAATAATTAATTATAAACTTTTAATTACAGCAGACGAATTCCTAAATATATCTTTAAAACATTTACATTTAATAAAACATTCTACTTATTTTTTCTATTTTATTTTTTTCAGTAGAATATCTTGCTTGTATGTGCAATTTTATTGCTGTGAATGCTTATTGTGTCTTTTTCTTTGCTGTTCTATCATTGTTGTTGTTTTTTTAAATGTTCTTGAAAATTTTAAAAAATATACTTCTAAAAAATAATGACACACATACTTTTTATGAACTGATTTAATCATATTCAAAATGTTCTTTTGAATGCAAAAATATCGTTTGATACAACATAATTACTATGTAAAATATTATGATGTAGCATTAGTTCAAAGCATAATGCATCATTTTAAAATATTTATAAAAAAATTGTAAAAATATATTTATTTAGAAAACCTTTTCTTTTATCAATTCGTCCCTTTTTTCCCTTTTTATATTATATTAGTTCATTGTAAACTTAAATTCTAACGTATGTACATATATAGGCAAAACTCCAGTATTTCTCAAAAATGACTATGCATATACCTCTCACCTCATTTTATGAAATTACAAACTATATGCTTATCAAATATATATTTTTTGTGATTTGCAGTTATGTTCAATTTATTCTTCTATTATTCTGTTGAAATTTGCTTATATAGTGTATCCTACACATTTTAACGATTTTACGTATTCATGTATACATAATGTTTGTCAATAATATTTATTCTCAATTTTAAACACCACATAATTTACGTTTATTTTGTGAGCATACCTACTAAAACAAGCATAATTTATTTCTTTTATTTTAATTATAGGTACGTTTCATTTTGTTTTTTATTATATTCACAAAATCGATTTCATTTTTTATATTTAAAATTCAGTTTAATGATGTAATGTTATGAATAGCTATCTATAACAATAATCGTACTTAAAAATGTTTCGATTTTTTCTGTTTAATTTTGGCTTTAAAAAAAAAAAATATGTGCACATGTAATAAAATACAGATTTTTATTTTTTTAACAATTATTCAACTAACATAATATTACGTGAAGTTGTAATTACAAAAATTTATATATAATGGAAAGAATAGCATAATGAGATGCCATCATAATTAACACTATGTGTCCGTTTAGAAAACACTTTTTTTTGAAGGTATCATTTATATTTATATATGTAAAAGAAAATTTTCTTTAAATTAGTTTCTAATGATAATAAATGATAATAATCTAAAATGCCTATTGAAAAATTAAGCACACAGAATGAAATTTTTGGATAAAGAAGTGCGCTTAAAAACTAGCACATTTCTTTGTATTATTCTATTATCAACATTTTACTTTAATTATTATTATTATAGTTTCTTAAGTTATTCTTTTAAATCATGCAATAATAATAAATGTTAATTTATCTTAATAAATATTAAATGAGAATGATTTACTTATAATTATAATACAGTGGAGAATTTTTTTTATGACAACCCTACAAGAATGTTGCAAAATAACACATTTAATATGAAGACTTAACTATGGCTTGTAAAAAGTCCATATAGGTATGTTAATTATTGTACGACTTTTTAAAATTTTTTAAAATAATATTATTAAATTAACCTAATTTCACCTTTTTTTTACTCTATTTATTATAATTAATTCCTTCATTATAATATATATCTATTCATGAGATGCAAATAAAATAATGTTATTTTTAAATTATAAGAAAGTCACTCAGGTACAAGTCATTGTGAAGGTAATCATTGAAACATGAGCATTTTGAAAGTAATGTAGAATATATCTATATTTCAAATTATTTTTTTCCATGCATCACACTTCATTTATATTGACTTGTATACTAAAAATGAATTTTTATAAAACTACTTATGAATACAATAATTGTGTATCACGGAAGTGAAATAAAAAAAGGATTATTTACTAAATATTTTTTTTTGTAAATTTCCCTATTTCCATATCATATTTCTTACCATCTTATTCTATACGTTTTTATGTTCAATAAATATTTACTTGAAAAATGTTTTCCAAAATTACTTAATTTTACACGTAAAATATGTTTCTAACTAATTGTATTTTAGGACTTTTTTTTTTTTTTAAAGTTATTGTTGTTTCTAAAAAATATCAATTTGATGTAAAATAATAAAAAAAAAAAGAAAATAATAAATGTATTCTTTCTTAATTGAAATATATTTAAAATTCTAAAATTTTTATACTGTCATAAATATTGTACTTTTTTTTTCTTAAACTAATATTCTAAAATAATAACTACATTGAAATTGAAGATATTATGTTTTCAGTAATTTATTAATTTTAAAAAAATATTTCATTTTTCGTTACTTTATGAATTTTATAATATATATGTAATATTATTAATATTTTATGAATTCTATTTTATACCTTATAACAACATCCACATTAAAACGTTGATGTAAATTATTTTTGTTTTTACTTTATAACATATAAAAAATTAGAATTTGTTAAAGAAAAATATAAAAATACATAATTAACTATTTTTATACACTATATGTAGAACTAATTTTTTTTTCTACATTTTAGACTGCTATCTTGCTTTATGATAAGATAAATTTGAATTTTTTTTTTTTTTTTTTTTTTTATAGCTCATTTCCTTAATTATAGCATGTATAGTTTGTGCGTTATCTAAATTATTCTATATGAACCATTTTAATTATTCAGAATTTTTATACAAAAATTCAGTTAATTTTATTTTAAATTTTTTTTTTATATGTGTTTATAATTTTAATATAGAATATTATTAAATCGCTTTAAAAATCCCACATCAGTTTCTATGTTTTAATAAGCATTACCCCTACATATTTTACAGTATGTTTTTAGAGAAATATTAAATACATTAATAAATAACTAACGCACTATCTTTTGATATTTAAAACATATAAATATACCTATAGATTGTTTTACCAAATACATTATAAAACTTAATAAGAACATCATGACAGGAATTTCCAAGTTTCACCTTTTTGCTAAAACTCTTGCAATTTTTTTTTGTGTCCTCGTACACCAGAATCTTAAGAATGATGTAAAATTACAATGTTTTAAATGTCTTCTCTTGTTTAATGAATTTTTTTTTTTTAACCATAATATTATTGTGTGACCTAATTGTATTTTTATAATTAAAAAATGTTATTTTTATTTTCATTTTATAGAGCTCCATTAATAAGTCATTTAGTAATGTGCAAAAAATAGATAAATCATTAAATTCAAGAACCTGTCGATTATTATCAAAAACTGATGTCGTAGGTCAACCAAAACAAGATGACTTAAAAAAATGTAAAATGAATGAAATGGAGGAAATAGATTTAGGATTATATGAAGAACCGAAAAGTCCAAACATATTCAAACGTGCTGATCAATATTTTGAGAACAAAATAATAAATAAACTTTATGATGTAGAGAGTATGAGCATGATCAGACATATTGATAAGAGAGGATTTCTGAAAACATCATGGAAAAACGTTTTTTTGATATATTTACTTCCATTGTGTATAGTTTTGATAGGAGCATTGTTGATAGGGTTAAAACAATTAAAACTATTAGGAAGTTTCGAATATATTTCGTATATTTCATTAGGCCCAACTGTATTAGCTTTATTGCCGCTTTTATATATATTTATAAAAGTAGTTAAACACATTAAAAGGTGGAAAAAAACGGAATCATATCTAGCATAATTTATTATATTTGTTCATTTTAAAAGTTATTTTAGTAATACCTAGCCGCTTATAGCTATTCATATAATATCACACATTTAACATTGTTTTGATGTATACCTAATTTATGGAAAGCAATACATTTAACCATGAAACATTACACAAACATTAATATATATGTATAGTTAATTGAAATTAATTGTATGCTATATTTTTTTTTATCAGTATTTTTTCTGTTCTTAAAATATAATTTATTAAATGTGTTTTTATATGTCCCGTATTTTTCAAAGAATTTATTATAGCATATATACCTACATAATTAGAATTATGAAGAATAAGAGTTTCAGATATATATATGTAGTTTTTTAACACAGTTTGCTAATTATTTGTCGTTATAGAAATATTCTAACTTCGTGTAAAACTGTGATAATTTCTTTCAAACTGTCTTTTGCCTTGAATGCGTACGTTCATTTATGGTAATCGATTTCATTTGTTTTAATTTGTGTTTTACTTCATTCCATCATAAACTAGAAGAACAGAACCATTTGATATGCCTTAATTTAAATATGAAGATATATAATTTGTCATCTTATTAAAAATAATAAATTTAACTTTTCTATTTACACCTTTTATTAGCTCATATATAAATGTAAAAAATATATCTATTTCGAATTTTATAAATCATTTTAAAGAACAGAATTCAAATCAATGAATTTTAAAGCATTTTAATCAAACAAATGTTTGTAATAGTACATCAAATTTTGCACAATAATTTCCCAGCAATTATTACAAGAATGGAGGTAAGCACAAAAACGTTTATACCAAATGTTCTATATCTGATAGTATTTCATATAACTCTTGTGCATATCATAATTATGTTAAAATAAATTATATATCTACTAAATAAATGAATGTAATAATTTAAAGTCGTAAGGTAATAAAAAAAAATATATATATTAAAAAATGTTCTACAAGTTATACAATTATTGAGTTTATTTTGGATCAAATTTATAACAACACATATATGTCTTAAATTGTGCTGATATCAATAGATACAATAACTGTGCTATATTTGAATTTCATTCTTAAGAACATAAATTTTATCATTTAAGTGAATCGTGTTCCAACATATATTAACTATGATATTTATGTTTATAAGGTGTTAAAATGAAATTCTTATACATTTAATCGTGTTATTATTTTTTTGACATAATTTTCTTTACATGATTTTTCTCTTGGGTATATAAAAAAGGATATACCCACAAAAAAAAATTTGTACTAATTTGAAGAAGAGAAGAACATAGATTCAATAGATAACATTTTAGATTTTATAAATTATAATCCAAAAAAATATCTTAGTGATTTAATCATATCACTTTATATCATAATAAAAACAATAATCTAAGATATAATATTAATATATGTAAAAAGAATACATTTAAAATAGTATATTTTATGTTTTTTACGTAATTCCATTAATGAGGATAAGAAGAATGATTCTAGCTATAAAATTCACAACTCATGATGACAATTCAGTCCTTACATATATTGTTACAGTAGACACTATTTAATATTATTATCATATTTCCTTATTTTTTCTAAGGTTCAATGTGCAGTGATTTTTCCTTTGTTATATCTTAGATGATACAAGATTGTTAAAATACATTGTTGTAATTAACATCAGTTATATTTAAATTCGAGTCATAAATATGTTTCTAAGATTTAATATAATATATACATTAATACGAACTTATGATGTAAGATAACTAAATGCTATGAATATGCACGCAAATAAAATTTTACTTATATTATACATGTATTAGGAGCAGTTTTAGTTATCTTATAAAGATCTCATACCAGTAAATTTGATAATATAATATCATTATTATAAATATATCAATATAATATAAAAATTAGGGTTATATATTATACATATAGAGTGAATGTATTTATTTAATATTTCATCATTCATTTTCTAAAATAATATTAATATTAAATTGAGTAATAACACCATAAAGTAGAATCTGTTAATTTTAGAATAAGATTAATTTTTTTTTTTTTTTTACCAAGGATTATTCAAGGGGCAATTTCTTAAGATTAATGTATTTATATACACATATATATTTATTTGAAATATCACTTCAATTAAAATAACATTTGCTGCACGTAAAAAATATGGCATTTTTAATATGAAAAAAAACCTATATACTCAATATGAATTCAACTTTATAAATAAAAAAAAAAAAAAAAAAAAATGATATACAAGTTTTTATTACAATTTGAGCTCAAAATGAACGAATATTATGGGCATACTAACCATGCATTATTGTACTCTTAATTCATATACAGAGTGTACAAGCTATATGTATGTCTAATAAATATTTCACATCATGAGTTGTAAAGTAATTGCTAATTTTATTTAAATTTTATGAAATTTGTATTTTTGGGTACATAATTTATTTACTAATAAATCTTAAAAAGGTTAATACATAATTTTTTAACCAAATCTGTAATAACTCTCTGCTCACTTATATAAATTTTATGTTAATTAAAAATTACAAATTTATTCATAAAGTTTACCACTTTGCCATGTGCGTAGTGTGTGCTATTTATCATAGCATAGTTTTTTACATTGAACTGTTTATTAAAACAATATTTGTTAAGGATAATGTTTATTTATAATTACAACCTGCTAAAAAATAATTTTTTTTTTCAGAATTATAGTGTTTACTGCTATTCATTTATTAAAATGATGGGGACTGATTAAACGTCCAAATTAATTTGTTGTCATATAAATTAAGTGTACATATAGTAACAGTATATATAACTGAAGCTTCTTTTTCCTGTTGGTAAATAAATAAAAACAATGAATGTATTAAATTAACCGAAATGTCATGTAAAAAATTACTTTAATTCCTAGACCAATACTGAATGGAAGTATAATATTAAACTGAAAGTATTGTATGAACCATGTAAACAAATATGAAGGAATAGAGGAAGTTCCCATGGTGTAATATAATGTGGATCAAGTGAGACCCCACAGGTTCATATTCAAATGAGATGAGTAGATGATGGCAATGCAACATATGTTTATAAATATGTAGAGTATGAAGGATATAAGCAGTTACTATATAGGAAAAGAAAAAGACACATATTGGATAAACAAACACGACTGAAAGAATTGTTCAATTTATATAAAAGTTAAATAAAATTAAGAGAGAAAATAATAGGAATCTTGAGGAACACTACAAATCATTAAAGTGGACTATGAGATCCACCATCAGATGAAATGGTGCATAGCGAAAAATATTTAATATTATTAATTTATACCAAACTTGTATGAAATAAAAGCAGACAAAATACACGTAACAGAAAAATTTCAATGGGTAATGAAATGCTAAATATAAAATTTTTAAAATTTAATTATATTTATAAAAGTCAACGTACTGAGATGTAATTATGCTTATATGCTAATATGCGTTATGATTATTCCGTGTAAGAATTATCTATAAAAAGACATTATATCAACAAGAAAAATTTTAATATTTTTTTATAAATGTTTTTGTAAATGTTAAGTTATACAGCGTTTTATTTCCTAAATTATTTCTATTTCTCTAAGAAGCAAGTGAAAAAAAATAGCATAACATAAAATAATTGTTCTGCACAAACGTAATTGCAAAAATAGCTCATAAAGCAATAGACGAATTTAGCTAAAAATTATATTTTTTTTTTAAACATCCTAAAGAGAACATGATCTATGAGGGAAACTTTTTATTATTATCATACAAACAGAAAAGAAATATGTGATAAGGACATTTTCACACATTCCTCATGTATTAACTGCTACTTCTATTGAAAAATATTAATACTATGGTATAAGGTTATAAGCAAGATCTATCAAACAAGCGTGTATCAATTATCAAATTTAAAATTCATTTACTCTGATAATTTTTCATTAATTTGTAAATGTATGTATTTGTATCTCTTTGTATATGAAGATTTTATTAAAAACAGGAATTGATATAGTTTAGTGTTTTACAAATATTTATTTAAAAATTTTGTAATTCACGCCTTAAAGTAATACATTATTATTATATATAGTCTTTTAACGGAGTAGTCATAAAAAATATATGAAAAATTAACAGTTTTACTTCCTAAATTAAAAAAAAAAAAAATTGTGAAACAATCTCAATTGATGACCGCAATTATGCTAAATCTTTTTTTTGATATGTGTATAATGATAATATATATCAGTATCATAGAAGCATTAAATAATAGTTTTTTATCCGAACTAAAGAATTTTAATAAGGATTATTAAATTATTTTCTTAAAATTAATTTACATTAATACCATATAGGACCATGTCTTCCAACTATATAGGTAGCATTTTATTTTCAAATATAATTTCATTTTCTATTGTCATTATCATATGCTTTTTATATATGTACCAAATATGAAAAAAAAAAAAAAATTTACTATTAAACTTGCTCATATTATACTAAAAAATTTTACCACTTATTTATATGGCATATTTGAATTATATATTTTTTTTTTCATTTGTAAATACATAATTCTTTTTAATAACTTCATTGTTTTATGGATACATCATCATCCATGCATAAATAAGAAAATCTAGGATACAACAAATACTACAAATAATGGCACATAGCCAATTTCAAATAAGTCAAACAGATATAGAGACAATTAAAAATAAAACATAGCATATCATTCACAGTAATATACACCCTAAATACATAATAAGAAAAAACATTCCCCATTTTAAGGTATTAGGTAATAAATGGTATGAAAATTAAATTTTTTGTGCAAAAAATAAATATCTCCAATGTTATCAGTGAAAGTATAAATAACAAAGATTCTAGTGCCATTTGTAACATACTCTTAATATGAGACAGAATGCAATGTCTTATCCTAGAATCCGCATTAGAAACATTGATGAATATAATAACTTAAATATATATATAGAGCAATGGTGTATTAATTTTTTTAATAATGCTCACTAAGCAAAAATGTATTATATTAATTAACTAAACAATTTCAAAATTATGCATTAATATAAAAAAAACGTAATCATATTATAATGGGAATATATTAATTCCATGACCAAACAAACTTTAATAAATAGTTCGTAATTGAAACAGTAGTTATTCCTTTGAATATGTCTACTGTAACAATATTTAATGAAATAATTTCTACATAAAAATTTTCAAAATATATTTAAAAACAAAATTAATATTCTCTTGAATACAATAGATATTATTAATTAAATTACATTAACAAATTGTTTACTACTACTTATTATTGATTGAATTTTTAAATTATGCATGATATGGCATCCTAAAAAAAAAAAAAAAAAAGTAATAATAAAATATCCAAAAAAATAAAACTAAGGAAACAAACTAAATTTCAAAATTTCCTTATAAACTATAACACGCAAAAGGTTGTTTGCATAATATATGTTAAAAATCATTTACTTTTTGTTAAATTATATGGTGATATCCAAAGCATTTTACTTTATAACTCTCCAAATTAAACAGTGTTTTCTAATATTATATCTATATGTAATTTTCATCATCTAGCACAGTTTGATATTGCTTACATATTGTACAAATGCACATCTATCCCTCATTTTTTAGTTTTATAAAATTTATAGTAACAACAGAACGAAAAATTATGGCATTTCACACAATCCTAGTGAAGAATTCTTTTCAAATTTACTTAAACCAGAATTGCAACATTTCCATTTTTTTGATGCATTTCTATATTTTTGTGTATTCCCATTGTATCTTATCTTTATCCTTAACAATTAATATAATATATTACACATATTCAACATTTTTGAATTTTATAAATATTTTCTACAATCCCTTTTTATTTAGATTATTCCACATCTTCAAAAATTTTTGCCATTTTCTAAATTATGGATACTTGTTGTATACACAGTAGCACTCCTTTGTTTCGTCCTGTTCATTTAACATTATCTTCTTTTTTTTCTTCTATTAAATATAAATTTTCGAAAAATAGTACTCCTTTTTTCATAATACCACTCTAAGTGGTTTCATGTTGTATATATAATCAATAAAAATAATCTTACGCAGCATGATAAATTAAATTTAATCTCCTCGTTTGAGGATCTTCTAATATATATTCTGAGCTATACATAGACAAATTTTCTTCAGACTCATCATAATAATTATTCTTAATTTTTTTTTTTTTTCGTTTTCTTTTATTATAATCTGGTCCTAACCTAGTTGACTAATACAAAAATAAAAAGGTAAAACATATGAAAATGTATTTACTGTCTAATTATACATTTGAAAGGAATTAAAATTATAAATTATAACATGATGTCCTTATATTTTAAATTTTAACGCATAGTTACCCTGTGATAATAGAATAAAAAGAGAATTGCTCCAAGTATTGAAGTAGTTACTATGAAGTTATTCAAAAGGTTGAAGCCCACCTTGTTATGTACGGTTTCAATAATGTCTTGAGTTTCAGTAATGATCTCAGGTTCTGTGTCCCTTCTAGTATCTGATGTGTTAAAAGAACCTTCGTCATTATCATCTCCAATTTTTTCAATTGAATAAGCACTAGGAGTTTCCGGTTGCAAAGTGGATGTCTCATGAGATTCCTCTCCTTTTGTATTTAATAGTTCAAGACTTTCTCTTAATTGAGTCAATAATTTCTGAGTATTGTACTTGCTTTCGCACCTAACAAAGGTACTACAGTAATATTCCATTAATTCATCTTCCTCACAGCAGTCATCAATTTTCTTCTTATAAAATGGGTCAATATATGTAACATAATTCACATAATGTTGACACATAGTTTTATCAACGTTATCACATTTGATTTTATCAAAATTTTCAAAATAATCATGCAAATCTTTGTCTTTTTTCCACCCTACCGGATCAACCCAAAACCCCCCCCTGCAGGCATCACTCATGTTATAATTTGATATAAAAGTTGATACTACATTCAAAATTTCATTAGCAATATCATTCTCTTTACCTGTGTAGGTTCTATTATAATATTTTTCACTTATCTGGTCGTTCAACCAGTGTTGAAAGAAATAACAACCCAGTTTTTGTTTTCCATTATTTTTATCTTTTAATTGTGTTAAAGTGTTTACTATTTTATTACAAAGTGTTATATCATCGGGCTTATATTTTTCTAAGCTTTTACAGTAATCACTTTTACTATCTGTGGATGTCTCATTAAATTTTTTATATATTTGATATGCAGGTAAATGTGATAATATTTTTTCCTATTAGAAATAAAAAAATAAATGTTATTCAGTAAATATACCTTTTTATTAACGAAAAAGAGTCTTATTATTCTTAAAAATATGTGGAATATTGAAATAATACACTACATATATTGTGTAGATTTACCCAATTGTTTTCTGGTGAAAGCACCATTTTATGTTATATATTAAATTAACATAATGGAACAATAATCTGAATAATTGCATGTATAAATATGTATGAAAAATTAAACCATGTAATCTATATCTACAACATGCATTGCCTTTTACATTAATTTTTCAAAAACTATGAAAGTTTCCTCAAATTTTTCACTTTTTTTTTTTTTTTTTTTTTTTTTTTTTTGTCTGCTAAGCTGCTACTATTAGACTACGTTATTAGTATGGTACCAAATGATGTATTAAACTTTTAAATGTGTATTCAAGGAAAATCGTGAATATAATTCCATATGTAAAACATATTGTTGTAAAACAAATTTTTATTTCGTATGATTTCAGTTTATCACATAACATTATAATTCTATTATAAATACGTGTTAGAAAAAATAATTTTAAATTACCTTAAAATTAAAATACAATTTTTATAGAAATATTTAGCCAATTTTTTTTTTTTTTTTTTGACTTTATAATTGTTTCTTTACAAAATAAGAATCACCCCTTTTCATGTTAATAATTATTGCATTTTTGTTACTAAATGAGAATATATTATGTTTAGTTAAAAGGAAATAGCGTTTTAATTGTTTTCTTTCATGTTACATTTTTACGAATTTTAATCTTAAATATTTTATTTCCCATTTAGTTGAACATGTAAGTTAAAAAGCTACACACGTCTTAACACATGTAAATTCTTCAAAATAAAAATACCTTAAAAAATCACATTTTAAAAATGTTATATAAATGATATTTATAAATTATAACTTTTTTATTACAAAATATTTCTTTTTAGTAATGCTAAAATATCTGTGCTCATGAGAAATATTATGTAAATATAGGGAGAAAAATCGCAAACTTTTAAGCTAATTGTTTGAATATTTTATTTGTAAAAATTCTTAAAGAAATTATAAATGCGTTTGAGAACTTGTAATATTTTTTGGTTTACATATATACAAAATTCTTCTCATTCAAAATTATGCATTTCATTAGGAATATATAATCCTACTTATTAATTCTTTTCCTTATTTTAACGATAAAAATGTAATTATTTTCTGTGCTTATCACAAGATAAACTTTTTTAAAAAAATATACAACAAATTTAAATAATCATCAGATATATTACATGTAATTTCTAGCCTCAATGTTGCATTAATAATAAGAACCGTATACAAAATTGTTCCATTAAACATAAAAGTGTCTATCTGTGAATCAATGTGAATACAATAAATAAAATATTTTTCAGAAATTAGGTGAATTATCGCATATATATGGAAAACAAGAATAATTAATTTTTGCCTTATGCAAAAATATGTTATGTTTTTGCTGCAAAATAGACGTCTTAATGGAAAATAGTTTCTGTATATGTAGAACCGTTTTGCTATAATTCTTAAATTGTTTTTCCTTACCGTTGTGTGAAATTATGTAAACACTAAAGAATGACAACATATTAAATACAATGACGGGGATGAAAGAAGAATAAAAGAATTTACATCTTCTCTAAAAATGTCACTATGCATAGCATAGGTGTAAGCTCTAAAAATAAAAATTGACAAAGTGATATTTATAGTAGCGTAGAAATAATAAAGGGTTTTAGGGGTTCACTATTTAAGAAAAAAAAAAAATGTGTATCTTTGGTAGTGTTACAAATTGTACATCACATCATTTATAAACATAACACTTATATACACCTTTTTATCGTTAAATTTAAGTTTCGCGTAAAGTGTATGAAAACCATGTCATGGTATTCTGCCATTAATGACATTAATACTTAAGACACGGTGATTTTATGTAAATACTTAAGAAAATTTTTTATAAATTCAGTAATTTTACATTTTCTTAAAAAGGCAGTCTCCTATTTTAATATATTATAATTCTAAACATTTCTTATGTTTATTTTTAAAACATCCAACAATATATGCCACAAGGCGCTAGTTTTGGGACTAAAATAGTTATTCTTCAATAGTAAAATTAAATATGTTATAACTTTACGAAATGATAAATTTCAATAATGCAGGTGTGTATACCTGTAAAAGTAAATAACATTTCAAATTATTAAGAGGAAAAGAAAAAGGGGAAAAATTGCTATAATTACAATTAATGGTCAAATAATCTCCAACGTAAGTTACGCACCTTTTACATGACGAGGAAACAATAATGGGGGAATAGCTGTTCAGAATTACGCGATGATGTTGTAGATGTTAAAAAAAAAAAACAATTTCTGTGTTGGAAAATTCAGAGAACAGCAACTGATCTACACTTACATTTAAATAAATAAATTAATAGTTCGAAAAAACAAAAGAACATTATAAAATATGCTACAAAAGCAATAACGATAAACATATTTCAAATATTACCATTGATACGAGAGAAATATTATAAAATTCCAATTAAACGTTTTTGATATATTAAACAGTTGAGTTTAAATTTGGAACAACATCCTAATTTAAACTATAAAATCACGAGATTTATGTACAATAAATGGGCAACTTGAAATAAAAATAACTACAATGGATATACATGGTAAAGCAAGTTTAAAAAATAGAGATGATCCTTCAGTGTCAGGAAATACATATAACATACTGAGTTTTTGCATTCAGCTCCACATTATACTTGAGGGTAAAATATATGACTGCATATGTTAGTTCTAATTCTACCGAAGAACTAGCACTATCAAACAATTTAGATGCAATTTCTAGTTCAACATGATATTAAAAGTGGGATTGCCATTGTACACAGATAATGCTTAGGTGTCCTTCCAATTTTCAATCTCAAAATCGAGGAAATATTGCTTCAAGGGGTATGAAAATCCTAAGAAGTAATAACCATATTTGTAAACTTCAGATTTTGGAAGCCTCTTCATCAATTCTTACTTATTCTAATAAAGAATGGAAAACATCTGAAAAAGATGACCTCTTAAAAAATAGATATAACTCGAAGAAGTAATAATTTATGGGGTAGCCCAAAATTACATATGTTATAAACTTTCATAGAATCATCAACCATATGAGAATTATAATATGATTCCTAAATTTTATTTTATGATATCAAATTAGAAGTTGCAAAATATTCACATGTGTTTTTCACTTCTTACTATAAGGATAACATAAGTCATACTTTGAGCTAAAATTAGCATACTTATTGATACCATATTGTAATAAAAACACAGCATTAAATATTAATTACAATTTGAATAACTCCATTCGCGTAAGCAGTAGAAATATAAATACAGATAGGGTGTAATTCCTTTAGTGATGTGCAATACCTGAAAAATTTTTTTATAAAAAATAATGTCATAATAGGTGCAGTTATTCTTGCAACTGTCATGTTATTCGCCTTTTTTTTAAAAGTAATAAGAAATTTCTGAATAAAACACAACATAAATTTTTTCTAATTAAAGCTTCATTTTATAGTTATATGTATTCCTATTTTGTATATCACTTATTTGTATTTATTCTTTAGGGTGTAAAAAAGGGAGAAAACAAAAATTGAGGCAAAGTTACAAAAAACAATGCTGTATCGATTAGACCATTCAAAAAATGAGGTTTATATGTGGACTCTTCAAAATACGCATTATATAAAGATCCATAATAAAGGATTCATATATGATAAATAGAAGAAGAAAAAATAGAATGAAAAATGCACTAAACAGAAATGTGAAAAAGTCTAAATCTACCGAAATAGAAAGGTCTCTTTATAATTAATTCTACAATTACATGCGGGAAGATAAAAATACAGGAGCAATTTATAAAAAAAGGAAAAATATTAAAATAATTTGTTAGAATATGATAATAAATTTGCAAAAAATAATAAACAATGGACTCCATGATTAGGTAAAAAATTATATGAAAAGTGAATAAGGTAGTACAGCAATTTTTATTGGCTAGAAAAAAACTTGATGATAAAGTAAGAAAACTGTTATATAAAATAATGATGCGTATTATAATGCGTTTTATGAAGAATTATGTTGAACGTAATATATAAAATGACTGTAGAATAATAATTTTGTGAATAATATCAGCTAACCAAAATATCATTAAGAAGTAAAAAAAAAAAAAGTTACATAAAAAAAGAATTAAAAAGAACAATGTTTAATTATATGTAGTAAAATAATCACATATCGATTTTTCAATCTTTATGTGTAGAAATGTCTAGGGTTATTCAAAATATTGAATTATAATATAAAATCGTTTTAACATGACGTTGATAGAATTACTCTAAATTCATTTCTAATAAGACACAATTCATGCATCATATTAGTGAGAAAGCAAAAATAGTGAAAATTTGTAAAACTTCCTAACTTTTCTACAATTTTTTAAGGGAAAAATTAAGAGAGATTTTATTATACGTAAAAAGACATTAACTTATTTGGGTTAAAACTCTAATTTGGCTATACATTATTATTTTATATTTTTTTTGTATATTCCAAGAATAGTATACAGCTTATTAGGCACTATTACATTAATATGTTGTATGACTATATTTTCCTTTTTTTTGTAAAATAATAAACTTCGTAAGTTTTATTTTGTTATTTATTAGTTAATACATTAAACTGTTTTTATATAAAATATTCTTTGTAATGTAATGCAAAAGAAGAACATTCCTTTGCGAAAGTGCTAACATGTGAATTGATCTACCAAATGGAATAATTCAAATTACTTATTATGTTTATTATTACTCTTTATATGATTACCTTTTTTACATATTTTTTGGCTAATTTTTTCCCTTAATCTAATTTTTTAATTTTAATTCTTTTAAAAAATCGAACTCTTGATAAAATTTAACTTCATAATATAGAACAATTAAGTAATATATTTTAATGTAACTAACAGTTATGTATGCAGTTAATCAATTTTCTTAGTCAATAAAACACCAGTATATCAATTAACAATAGTTGCTATTCTTTTGTTATTCTATAAAGCAAAAATTTTTATTTCGCTATAACATATTACTTATAATAATATATAATAATGCTCTACTAATTTTATTATTAGCGTATGTATGGTAAAACTAATAATCCTATATTCTTCACATGAATAATTGGGTAATACAGCAGTTTTGTAAAAAAAGTTATCTACAAATAATTGCTAATATTCAAACATAACACCCTCCCATTTAATAACAGTGCAAAATGTGTTATTATGTACACTAATAGGAATCCTCCCCAAAAAAAAACAACAAAACAACCACATGCAATAACCGAATTTGATAAAAAAAAATTTAGTAAAACCTAAAATTATATATGTTAGAAGAAATTAGTCCAAACATAACTATATAACTATGAAATAAAATTCTGAATTTTTATTTTTCATTTCAGTTTTTTTTTTTTTTTTTTTTTTTGGTATAGGTTTAAAAGTATATAGAATGTTTCGTCTACCATTTTGGTGTGTGATACATAGATATTCAAAAAGAATAAACATATCAAACTTATTAATATATTATTATATTAAAATTCGTAATAATCAGTTTCAAATAGAAACCAAATATATTATAATTAGATTAACCTCTTCATGTTTTCCCATGTGTATGAAGTTATTTATAAAATATTAAAAATGTTTTACATAGTTCACATAAATATAAACACATCTAGTGTGGTCTTATTAGTGAATGGCAACCAAGTATAATGCTTCAAAATATAATAAGTACAAACACAAAAATAAAATAATAAATAATATTTACAAAAAAAATCAAATAGGAAACATCCATATGTATAATGAATTTATCAGATAAAGAGGTGCGTATAAAAAAAAAAAAACACAAAAAAAATATTTTTTCTTACATGAGAAAATATTGAAATGAGTATTTAAGTAAAAATTTCAAAGTGTAATATTGTTTTCCAATAAATTTCCTAGTATAATTTTTTATTTTGTAACCCTTAAAAATGCATTATGTCAATTTTTCATATTTATATATTTATTTTATTTTTTCACATCAAAATTTTAATATCTCATAATCAAATATCCTTAATTTCTGTACTGTTTCAACAATGTTTTAGACGCCCTAATTTTAATCGTATTCAACTAATACATTCCCCTAATTTTATCCTTTATATTTAAATAGTTCTTTCCAACAATACATATAAGTATCACACTTATCTATTCGACTATTCATTCAAATGTATTACATGTTAATTGTTTTGAAATTATGTAAGAATTAGAACAACTTCTGAGCATATCATAATTTTTATTCTTCATTTATGCCTCATAGGATTTTCTCAAATAATTCCTATATCATTTTTTTTTTTTTTTTTTTTTTTGCTAAAATGCTTACTATAGATATTTTTCAAATAATATTCTTAATTAGTAAATATAATCACCCATAGTTTCGTATAACAAATGTACCCTCTTCATTTTCGAATTCTCAGGTGGTGATTCTAATATATATCTTGACAATTCTTGATGTTTATCATAATAGTTATTCTCATATCCTCTTTTCTTTTTTTTCTTTATTCCCTTTTTACTTGGTCCTGATCCTGGCAAAGTTGACTAATGCACAAATGAAATAAAAACGCACAGTATATTTTTATTCGTAATTGTGCATTTGAAAAAATGAACATTATATGGATTATCACAAAATACATATATATTAATATTCAATTTTTACTTTAAAGAAATTAATAAGGAATATAACTGCACAAAAAATTGTAACACCGATGACTGTGTAACGTATATACCCTGAGTTCAATGTATCATATTTTTTTTTATGAGAAATATAGAAATTTGGCACCATCTCAGGTAATGCAGGATATGTAGAAATATCCATATCCTCCTTATGAAGAAATTGCTCCTGATGTTCTGTATCTTGCTCTATTCCATCCTGAGGTATATCTACTCTTCCTCTTTGATCTTGTTCATCTGTTAAAATTATTTGAGGTAATAAACTTTGTGAACCTGATAAATCTTGTGAATGTTCTATATCTTCTGATCCCAGTGCAACTTCTTGTTCTTCCGTGTCTAACCAATCAGATTGATCTTCTTCTTCTACTGAATCTAATGAATCTTCTTTCGATTCTGTAATTTCCACTTCTTTTGTAACTCCCTTTTCTTCTGTACCCCCATCGGACACATCATTTTTTGAAGTTGCATCATCTCCCACTCTTTCTTCAAAATCATTTTGAGTCACGGGTTCATGGTCTGCTGCTGATTTAGCTATAGGATCTGTATATCCTGTTGATGGATGATCAGCTGAAGTACTCACACTTGAAGTCTCAATAGAGCTGCATTCTTTTAGTTCGGTTATAAGATTCTTTGGATTATACAAGTTACGACAATAAAAATAATGTGGGGCATAGGAAAAAGGCAACCAAATACTTCTATCACAGTTAATCTTCCTATACCGCTCATATAATGAACTTAAAACATTAATATATGCTAAACATTTACTACATTGATCTTTATTTTTTGATCTACTAATTTGTTTAATTTTCTCATGATTTTTAAAATACATATGCAAAAATTTCCTTCTTCTATATTCATTAAAATCAACTGTTCGTACAACCTGTGGTAAAATATTACATCTAGAATAAAAGTGTTTTCTAATAGCCTTATTTCCTGTGTTAATAAGTTCTCTAACAAACGGTATTGCACTAACCTTTTTAGTGTGTTCATAGTTTTTCCCTATTTCATCATATAACCAATAACGTAAATAACTACAATATTTGGAACTTTCTTGATTTCCCTTATTACCATATATTTTTTCTAAAAAGTATAAGAGTTTACTGCAAATCTCTTTAGCTTCTGCATTTGTTTTTTCTTTTTTACTAAATGCAACTTCACAGTAATGATTATATTTAGATGTTCCAGGATTTGAAAAAAATTCCTTATATATTTTATCAAGCCCTAAATCATTTACAGCATCCTCCTAAAAATATGCATAAAAAAGGTTAATAAACAAATACCAACATTATTGCTCAGAAAACATAAATTTCCCGTTTATTTAGATAGACATAACTTAAATATTCAACTAGTAAAATAGTGATGCATATTCATATAAACCAATTTGTCCTCAAGTGTCTTCTTCATCATTTTTTTTTTTTTTGACGTAATTTATTTTTAATAAAAATATTGTTTCCAAATTTCACACATTAATATATATATGTTCAAAATACGTAATACTGTAGCGACATATTTGAGTAACCCTTTATATTATTCCTATCTTCTCTATGATTACTTATTCGCATGAACTGTTAGTGTGTAATAAGTGTGCTGTATTCATTTTTTATTTTTATTATTTATGTAAAGATAGCCATTTTTTAATCATAAGAAGGTAAAAAATAAAAAAAAGTAACTTAAATTTCACACTGTATAATAATAATACAAAAAATGTAGCAACAGTTTTATATATTTAATATGCTGAGCATACATAAAGGATTATATTTAAAAATTTTGTGTGTTAAAGTATTTAGTAGTTTATAATACCTTTTATATATTCTTTAAAAATTATATAAATTATTGCTAGCATAAAAAAAAAATTTCTTTGAGGGAGGACAATAACTTTTCTGTGATAATGAAATTTATTTGACATAAGAAATTGGTTTTGTTTTATTATCCTATAAATTTATAACTGAAAATAGAATAATAATTCTAATGGTGAAAAAGACAAAAACAAGCTTATAAAACGTTTATCAAAAATATATGTTATTGTGTAACATTAGGGGAACTTATCCGAGCATCCTATTATTTGCGATTTTTCTGGCTTAATAATTTCTAGAATTGTGTTGAAATTACAAAATATACAAGTCCAGTTACATTCCTCTTCATTTCCGTAGCAAAAAAAAATTTTTATTTTATAATTTTTTCAATTTCTTATATCCTTTAATGGTATATATGTACATGTTTTGGGATTATTAATGTAAATAAAAGCGTATTTATTATAAAATTAATGAGATTCTTTTTTTTCCTAAAAAAGGACATTCTTCATCATTACAAAACGGTGAAAAAAAGTTACGAAAAAACCTCCACATTTCTTACACGAAATATTCTTGAAAATTTTATAACATGTTGTCATAACGTATATACAGTTGTGTTAATTTTTTAGCCCGTTTTAATCATACCCATATTGCTAGCAGTAAGAAAAAATAGAGAAAATTTTTATGTTATTATTTTACAAAGTTTATTTTTTTTATACATTTCTTATAATTAGTTTTTGTTAAATTTAAATAACACTTACGAATATTTTACTTAAAAAAATAGGATAACAGCAAGGAAAAATAAATACCCATTTCTCTTATATTAATTGTTGCGACATAGTGCAATGCTTAAAATTGAGAGTGTTAAATGTATTACATAATTATTGTAATACATTATGCACATAAATGAACATCTTGATAAAAAACCAGGAACACAATTATCACTTCTTAAAAAGGGGCATCAAAAATTGTGTATTTGTTAAGCAGACAAGTTACCAAACATAGAATAAATGTTCTTGTACTTTTTTTTTTTTTTTTCCGCTTTATTTTTATTTTCATCATAATAACACAATTATATGTTTTAAAGAAAGTTATTTATGTGTAAATCATCATTTGAGTGTATCACTCATCAACTTAATTTTCTAAAAACAATTGAATTAATGAAATAGTTATAGAAAATAAACATATAATACTAATTTTGTTGTTGCACATTCCAAAAATATTTTTTATGCAACATTAACAGTGTTATTAACAATACAGATAATCATGCAAAACAGAAAAATAAAATCAACAAACCTTTTGATATATATAAATCTGAATATCCCTAACTTTCATCATTTAGTGTAACGACGACATTATATGACAACTAGTGGTATCTTTTTCCTGGACACGCTTTATGTATATATTTCTACATGTAAGGCAATATTATTTTATAAGAGTAATATAAAATATTTATTTCCCTAACTTGTGCTATTATAAATTCAATTATCTCTAATACTCTAAAAGTTCAATGATTTTATTTAGTTTTAGCAATAAGTGTATATGTTCATCTAATTATTATTTATGTAAAATGTTCGTTTAAAGGTGTATACATTCCACCAATAATAATACACTATTTCGATAAAACTAATTTTATATATTAGTAAAATTGTATGGAGAAAGAATTAACCCTTTACGTAAAACTGAATTTTTTTTTTTTTTTAATAATTCAAAAGAATATATTTTATACACATTACTTGTTGATGTATTTTTTTGGAAGTAAATTCATCAGATAACTTACAATTTTAACTACTTTTTATGATATATATATTTTAACAAGTTTTAATTATTTTCTGTTTTTTACATTAATAATGGACAAATAAACAAACATGAATGTTCATCAAAACATCAAATTAATATATTTTACTAAACATATCAGACAGGATAATTAGTAAAAATATTTTTATATATGAACATGTCATTCAACACAAAAAAGAAAAATTAATAAATGAAAAAATTTAATTTATTTCTAAAAAATTGAAAATAAAAATCAACCCTTTTTTTTTTTTTTTTTTTACACTAATGTTAATACTAATAAAACATATATATACAGATGCTTATACCTCTCCATTTTATTACAAAAAGAGTTTATTTTTTGTCTAATTCTTAGCAAAAATGACCCCCCTTATGTGGGATTATAAGCTATGCGTGTTCGTGCTCCCTGCTTATTTGTATTCATATTTTTTGGTGTACGGGATGTTGCTTTTTTATGAACTCTAGGTTTAACATTACTCATAGCATGACCTTTAGGGTAACCTCTGTTATTTATCTTAACTTCCTTTTTCTTTAACATTCTTCTATGTATCACTGATCCAAAAGGTGTAAACTGATAAAAAAAAAGTAAAAAAAGAAAATATATGTTCTCATTTTATAATTATTCACCTCTAACAATGTAAATTATAAGTTGTATAAAATATTTGACGTTTTAAAAAACTCCTCTTTACCTTATAATAAATAAACAAAACTAATAATATTCCCAATATTAGAAGGAATGAGACGCCTATCCGTGTAAATTTGTTATTGGCACCCGGAAAAAAAGGAAAATCATAGTAATTGCCAGATAATATACTCATAAACATTTCTTTATCTGCAGTAGGCATCATAAATCCAATAGTTCCAGTTTCACGTACATTTGGTTCTGCGCAGTTCCCTGACGCATCTTTTACTAAATATTTCTCGCATTTTGTTTCATTTCGATTTAATTCTCTTGTATCTTGTGGTAATGTGACATTTCCTGATTGTGAACTTTCAGAATTAACTTCGCCTTGAGATCCCTTCCCTTTTGCACTGTTTGAACCATGAGTTTTTTCCTTCACGGTGTCACTCAGAGAAGATGGTGTGGCTCCTTGATTTTTTCCATTAGTTTCATTAAAAGTGGGGGTGGTAGATTCGTTAGTTTTTGGTTCAAATATAGAACATGAATTAAATACAGTACCATCTTTCGTTTTTATTTCTGTACACCGAAAATATTTATGCTCCCCTTTATGAATCCAATCATATTTTTCATCATTCTTTATAACGGGTAATTTATTACTATCACATGTTACGGTTGTAAAGAAATTGGCAGGGTTATGCTTTTCATCACATGAAAAATATTTTAAACATCTGTAAGACTTGAAAGGACAGCAATAACTTTTATGTTTTAAATATATACTGCTTATGGAATTAATATATTTTTTGAAATTATTTCTTTTACTCGTATCGGAACAATAATTTTTAGTAATAGTATCAAAATTCGTAAAGTAATCATACAAAAATTTTTCTTCAACCCATTCAGTCAAAATATCTTTATTACAGCTATAGTATGGACAATTATAAATAGTTTTTTTTTTTTTATTTAAACACTCCTTTATATTATTAAGATGTTCAAAAATAACTGCGTGATCATATGAATTGTCCCTAGATAATAACCACACTCTGTAGTATATCCAGTAAAGAAAATGTAAGCATTGATCCTTATATGATAAACTATCTTTCAATTCAGTTAATTGTTTTTCAACCTTAACGCACAAATCATATAATCCATTATTACCATCTTTAGGCTCAGTTATCTTAGTACAATATTCAGTTGTTAACGTATTTCCTTCCACTTTTTCATTGAATTTATCATATAATTTGTAGTAATATGAATTTGAAAATATTTCTTTCTAGGAATAAAATATAAAAAGAATTTATATAAGCGTTAATACATCTGTTCATAAGAATGAAAATTTTAATTTTTTTCAACGGTATTTATAACACCAAAGTAAAATTATAAAAAAACAGAGACACTAATTTAAAAAAAAAAAAAAGAAATATACCAAAATATCATCAGTTAATGTCTCCATTCTGAATTATATTTAAAAATAAGAATGGTAAATGAAGTTCTCTAAGAGTTCGTAGCTTATATGTGTAAGGTAATATTTCTTTTAATAATAAGCATTATCACAATCCCAAATGACTGTATGAACTAAACAAGTGTAGTTTACCTAATACACCACTTTAATTGGGATATATGGTTATATTATTATAATCATATATATGTAATATAAAGTAGCCATTTTTAATTTTAAAAAAGGTATAATTAAGAACTGTCTTCATTATCCCAGTAAATTAACATATTATAAGAAAAATTCGTATTTTATAACATGTATTTTTTATAATAATAGTGTGTAATTATGTAATCATAGAAAATATAAACAATTATTTTTAATATACAAATATACATACTAAATTTCATGTGGTACTATATAAGTAAAGATTCCTTACTTTTTTATTCAGTACCAACATATAAGCATAGCTATGTATGAGAATAATTTCATTCTTTAATTAGATGAGAAAAAGTTTAAAATGTAGACATAAATAAATTGTAACTCAAATGTTTAGTTTTATCTAGGTCTTTATATATTATTCCTTTTTTCTCATATTAACATATAATCAGCAGGTTTTGTCATTTATATAAACGAAAAAATTATATTATTCACTAGAACAAATAAATAACACATCTTGGGGTTTCTCTTTTTTCACGTAAAAAATTGCGTGCATTATGACAGAATAATTTTAATTATAATTTCACAATTTAAAGTAATTCAAATATTTTTGAAATGATAATCTGCTGATCAATGTAAACAGATGATAATTAAAAATATTACATATTTTCAAAAATGAATAACTGTATTTAAAATATAATTTTGCACATTAATAAGTGTTATATTTTAACATAAAATATGTGAAACAATTTACTTGTTATAATAAAAAACTTGAAAAATTAATTAACAAAAAATTATTAAAATATATTTTTTTTTTAAATAACAATTTCATGATAAAAATATAATTGCTTTTGTGCAACAATGATCATAGATATTTTTTACATTTATTATAACATAATACTAATAACAATTAGGTTATATCTGTTAAAATTAGAATAATACATTTAAAATTTTAATGCAACACATTTTTTTTTTTTACATTATCATAAGTAGGTGTATTGCTATTCTCCATTGAGTGTTTTCCAAACAGTTATACATATAAATAAACTAGTTAGAAAAAAAAAAAGAAAAAGAAATAAAACAATGAATTATAATTCTAAAAAAAAATTAATTGATACGACATTGTAGTCGAATATTCGAAATATGTGTTTGTATACTATGTTATATAAAAGTTGTGGTTCATGAAGTTAAAAATAGGTTTGATTAGGGTAATACACATGTGAGTGTTTTTTATTAGGGGACATGTAAAATAAGTATTACAATGTTATTAGTAATGTGCATATATTTTTCTGAGATGTGTGAAAAATTATAATTATGATAACTATGATTTTTAGAAAAATATAAGGTTTTATAATATATTCCATATAAACTAACTCGTGTCAGGGATATATCTACTCATTATGTAATATATATTTTTATCTTTAACATATAATTTGGATTGTTACAATACGGGAATTACTTTTATAATTGATATTTGTTAAAGAATAATTCAAATATATTTATGTCATATACCGTTTCACTTTTCAATGTCAACCATTCCTCTTATTAAAGTAGGACATTCGATAAATACCTATTCAACTGCATACTGTGTTAGAATATTTATACATGTACACTAGCTGAAAAATGTATTATCAAAATATATATTATTTAGATTACTCATTGAAAAATTTACAATCATTTTAGCTTTAAGTATTTATATGATGATATATTTAGTAGTATCACTATGACAAGTAGTCCCGAATAAACTTCTTCCCATTTTTATAAATCCTAATATCGTTTCTCGGGTTTAGTGAAAAAGCGAAATAATGCACCATTCAATGTTTATAAAAAAAATACATATTTTATAATTATTTCAATGTCTTTTAAAGATACCTTATATGCACCTTATAATAATAATTAGGGGGTTATCGTTCCCAATTACAATTTCATACTTAAAATTGTAAGTTTATTTTATAAGATATATTATTATACCAATTACAATTTAGTTAAATTTTTTTTCATTTCAATTGTGATTTATCATTTTTACGAGTGAACACGTTTTTCTTAAATATCATAATAAAATAGATAACTTCAACCGATAATTAATATATTCGTGCACTATATTATATATAATACACTTCTAATTAATTTTCACATGTATATCGTCTCATTATTTTTAGTGTATTTTTTTTCATCGCTTTTATTTGCGTAAAATTATTATTTTATCAGGTACTAATTTTTGAAATTAAATTGTAAAAAGAAAAATTTAAGAGAATCACAATTAGGAAAAATCAAATAATATGTATTTATTTTGAGGTTAATACTTCATATAAATAAAAAAACTCTATATATTGCAATTTTCTTGTTCTCGGAGTTAACTATAATTTCTAAACAATGTTTTAACTCCATAAAATAATATATTCTCCTATATGTGTTACATATTTTTGATAAAGTACAATATAAATTAAAAATATTTATAATTTATTTTATTTTCCCAGAAATTTAACTATATCATATATATGTTATAAAATGCTTAATTCTTAATAATGTTCACGTAAGGAATAAAAATATTTTGACAAAATTAATCAGTTACAAGCACATGTTTTCAAAAATACACTCATTTCTTAAGTTGGCCTTTAAGACGAATTATACACAAATTTGAAATGAGTATATAATTCTCATATTATAATTATTAATATATCATTCAATTCTTAATGTGTCAAATTCATTATGAAATCATGTTTTATTACACATATTTAGAAGAATGTGTAAAAAATTTTAATACACTTTTGCGGATATTACATCAATGTTGAATTAAAAACATATAACAACAAAAAAAAAAAAAAAAAAAAAACATCATTTTGTCAAATGTGTAACCTAATTTTATTATTTCTATTAAAAATTTAAATCATAAGGAAAAGGTGTTAAACAAATAATCAATAATATTAGAAATTTATAAAAAATGTAAAAATAATCTTAAAAATAATTACTATATTTTTTTTACAAACAAAAAATAATTTTCGACAAAAAGTTGATTTTTCTCCAATGTAATCAAGAAAACATATTTATATAGAAAATATTATATTATCTTTTAGTTCCCACTCATAACGCCCATTAAACCAAATTACAAATTGCCTGCATTCATCCTTACATTATTGATATATATTATTTCTTACAAGGATTAATAACATAAAAAAAAATCTTATGATGCATGATAGGATATACGCGCTTTCTTATTAGGGGGATTCCTATTTGTAGGCCTAGAAGGACTTCTAGATGTCATAGGCCTATTTCCCCTTGGAGGACTTCTAGATGTAAGAGGCTTATTTCCTTTTGAAGGGCTTCTAGATGTATTAGGTCTATTTCCCTTTGGAGGACTGCTAGATGTAAGAGGTCTATTTCCCCTAGGGGGACTACTTTCCACTTGGGGCTTATTTCCCCTTTGAGGACTTTGCTCAAATCCCATATTCATTTTCTGCTTAGTTTTTTTCGTTCTGTTCATCTTCTTATTAATCCATGTTCCGAATGGGGTAAACTAATAGATAAAAAAATTAAATAAAAAATATATAACAAATTATATATGTAACAAATTAAATAATTTCTTCGTAGGAAATATAAGCTACCTATTCTTTTTATAATATTATTAGTTTATACCTTGTAATAAAGAAAAAAAATGAAAAACATTCCTCCTAGTAATAAGGATATGATGATAAGACGATTAATACTTGTTATAACTTTACTAGAAAAGAGAGAATTCTTTCCTTCCTGGTTTTCAGCGCTTTCATATATAAATTCTTTTGGTTCTTCACAAATTAGAGAACCATCATCTTTTTTTAGAATGTGGGCGCAGTGCATCATTTCAAAACCTTTATTAAAATTATCATTTCTCCCTGAGTTTGAAAACTCATGAGCCACCTTATTACTTGAGCTGTATTTTCCAAATGTTTCACCTGCTATTCTCCTTACCATTTCACCTAATGCTTGGGAACCTTTTAATTCTGCAGGTATTCCTACAGAGGTTTTAGATTCTTCTGTAATTTCATCTCCAGATTGAACTGAACCATCATGAGATATTCGTACTGTAGGGGTCCATGAACCAGCATGACCAGCTTGTTTATTTCTTCCATTTTTTCCGGATAGCTTATCATAAAAATCGTCCTCTTCAATTGTACGTCCCATTATATTTTCAAGATTTCTGTGTCCTCTTTCAGGGCTATAACAAGATACCAACGCATAACCTTCATTCCTAGATGCATAATTCACAAGGCACTTGGTGTTGATAATTCTCGTTCTATATTTGTTTCTACGTTTGTGCCATCCATATGGGACATTAGGAAGGGGAATCTGAACATTAGCTTCATTTAATTCTGTTTGTGGAGCTGAACCTTTTACACTTTTTGGTGTTTGGGATGCTCTTACACTTTTTGCTTGTGATTTTATATCACGTCTTTCTTTATCTACATTTAATTTAAATAAAAGATTTCGGGGATCGTACATTGAATCACATCTAAAATAATGGTCACAAAGGTGTGGATATTTAGTGCTACAACAATTTTCATTTGATATTTTTTTTGTATATAGTTCATCAATATATTTTAAATACACCATATACTTATTTTCATCTTTCTTAGACTTAATATTGCTATTAATTTCATCAAAATTTACAAAATATTCAGTTAAAACCTTCTCATCTCCAAAATTATTAGAATAATAATAATTATCGTAGCATTCAAATGTATCCTTTGTTTCACCCAAAACACTGTATTGCAAATTATTTAATTTTTGGGTTAGGATAACTTCACCAAATCTATTCGGCTTACTGGTTATATACTTTTTTTTTAGTTCATCATTTAACCAATATTTCAGTAACATGCAGTAATCCATAGATTTTTCTTTATACTTATTGGAAAGTATGTCTTTTAAACTCCTAATAAATTTTTTACAAATTGTCTCCAGTTCAGTATTTTCTGTATGGTACTTTGCGGTTAATTTACAAACATCATTATATTCACTTGAGTCTTCGTCCTTATTGAATTCATTATATATCTTACCTGAAAGTAAAACCTTCGTAATATCATCCTAAGAATTATTTACAGTAAACAAATTATATAAACGTGTAAATTTACATCATCAACAATTTTTTCCTACACTAGAACATTATTTTAACGTACAAATACTTTATCAACAATGATTATACAAAACCAGTGTATACCCAGTTATTCGTACTTGATCCCTCTAGCATTGTATTTAAAGCTATAACCCTTAAATGAGATAACAAATATATTAATTATACTCGTATTTTCATACGTAAAAAATAAAGATATATATCCCAATGTCTTATTAGGAGCAGCATCACACCTATTTATAAAATGCTTTTTTTGTATTATGAAATATTCATTAAATCTAGAACATCATTAAATAATCCTAATATAACAAATAGTTATAGTTTTGTGTAAACATAATTCAGACTAGGAATACAATTTTTCATATAAAGCTAGTTTTTTGATTAAAAATTGAGTTTTTATAATATTAGAAGATGGAATAATATATTATGTATATCTATATTAATGACACGTAACAATTTCCACTATATTTTTTTTTAAAATATATTTAAAATGAATTAATGTATATATTTTGCAATTATAAGCTCCTTTATAAGGTATTTTATTATATATACTAGTTTTCATCATATAAAATGTATAAGTTCAACTATGAATTTACTTCATTTTTAAGCTCAAAAATGAATCTGATTTTTATATTCAATTTTCCTTTCATGCAGAATTAAAAACACACTCATGCCATGTTGTTACGTATAATAAAATTGATAATTACAGATACGAAATTTAGAAAAGTAAAATATAAACATATGATAAGCTTATAAATATTTTGAGAAATTAATTACGAGAGGCTTACAGATAAAGCATTTCCTATTACAAATTTTTATTATTTAATTTTGTTTATTTTGGAAAGGTCTCTAATCTTTTTTATATACACCTCATAAATGACATCCTTTATATTTTCTCAAGATAATTATAAAGTAAAAAAGAGTAATTAAATTTAACACATTACAGTTTCTATTTTTTGGGATGTACGTTTTCTTTATTAATTTTATTATATATATGTATATGTATCATTTATAAAATTTTTGAAGGTACATTTCACTTTTTACATACATAAACTTAACAATTTTCCAAAAGTATTTTTTTAAAAGATTAAGAAGAGGAAAATTGCGTTTCTTTTCTGTGTATATTTCAAGTAACAACTCTATTCCGTTTTAATCCAAAATAGCAAGTACATGTAATACATGCATATATGTATATGTGTGTCTCATCAAGAACATTCATTTGTAACATTTATTTTGTTGCAATTATATTCTCATATAGTTGCACAAAACAAATGTTTGCATTTTACAATATTATTATATATGTTATGTGATACTTTATTATTATCTCTTCATGATTTATTAACAGTTTCCCGTTAAATAGTCCAAAATTACAATAGAAAGGTAGAAAGTTAGTAAGGTAGAAAAGGGTAGTCCCTTCACATATAATAATGACATTGAATTACAGTGTATATGGTAAAAGCGTATATATTTATACCATAAGTGAAAATAAATTGCCAAATTCGATTATCCTACATGATAATTTTAATTTCTTGAACAAATTATTAATAATGTAATAAAATGGTACCTAAATATAATTAAGAGTCATCGCATGCATAAATATATATACAATAAGTAGTCTACCATTTTCCTTATACCATCAATTTTTCCATGAAAAAAGTATATATATAAATCCTTAGATACCTTTGCATATATTAGTACCCATAAGTAGACATAAAAACCACAGAATGTGAAAAATCTAGAAAAATAAAACTAATTCATGCATAAGGCTCAATAGAATGTTATGCATTAAGCATAAATAGATAGTGATTTTTACAATGACTTACCTATTTATCTTTATAACAAATTCTAAGAATACTATTACCATCATTTTATCAAAAAAAAATTTCTTATTTGTTTTTTGGTATAACAATACATGTAAATAGAAACAAAAAAAAAAAATAAACACAATACTTATAATAATACATATAGGGCTCAAATATGCTTTAACGTTAGTGTCACTTTTTTTGGATTCCTCAACTAAGTCATAAAAAAATTTTTCATTTTAATATCTAAATAAACACTTCATATATAAAATAAGATTAACTTATTCTATATTTTTCCACATTTCATCCTTTCTAGTTACTAAATGAACATAAGTTTATTCATATATCGAAAATATGAAACTACTTAACAATCAACTAGAGTGATATGTAATCCATAAATAATAAGAACAATAAAAACTCACGCTTTTGTTGTAAGTATCTTTGGTTGAGTAAAAAAATATATAATCACAAATATATTTATTCTTTTTAGTTTCATATAAATTGATTGAGAAGAACAAACAGTATCTTAAACAAAAGTACCTCATATACTCATAGCTCCTTTATACTTACATAAGACCGAACAAGTAGATGTAAAAAAAACAATTTTATAAATTCCTTTTCATTTTCATTATATACATTGGTAGTTAAATCCAGATATGGTAGTGTCATAAATTGCGTTTACGACTTGGTAGTTTTAATAATGTTACTGCCGAAGAGTTCATACTTGGTGTTCTTTCTCCTCCTCTAATGAAAAAAATATATATGTATATATATACATACTTAATATAAGAGCAATTCCCCAAGCATATATTTACATATTTATTCTGCAACTGTTTTAGTATTAACCATTAGCCTATTTATTAAAAATGACACTTCATCAAATACATATTTGTAAGATCTAATATGAAACTAATCTATTTTACCTCATTCTGCTATTTAATCTAAATATAAGTTATAGCAAAAATATATATATGTATATACAAACAAATCTTCGTAAAAGTAAAGCATGGATTACATTCAAGACATTGAACCATTTTGCAATATTAAAAAAAGTTATTATTCTCGTCTTGTTTCAAGGCAGGCTAGGTACTTAGACCTAGTGTGACATTTATAATATATGCATTCTTTAAGAGCCATTCCCAAAGAAATCTAAGCTCAATATATATTTTTATTAATTACTTTCACTTAAAATGTTCTTTTTATATCATATATATTAACATTGTGTAATATATATACATTTTTTTTCTTCTTTACCCGTTCACTCCACGTATGTAATTCACAATATTGTCTTATAAAAAAGGCTTTATAGTGGAACTACCCTGAATCATATGAACAAAAGCGAAATTTTAGAACGAAAAAGAATTTCTAAAGGAATATCAAATAAAATGTTTTATAAAGTCCATTTTATCGCCAAAACGACGCAATCTATTTGTTATTATGATACAAAATGTACTATTCAAAAGTTCTCAAAATAATTTTGAAAAAATTATGTAAATGGTGATTTCCTTTTTATGTTTTCGTAATAAGACAAATTTAAATAACATAATTCAGGAAAAAAATACACTGAATTTTAAGTTACATAAACTAATGTTCCCCGTTCATCTGCGCTAGTTGCTTCACTCTCAAGCATGAATACATTAAGGAGGGCTATACCACGACTTAAATGTCTAGAAAGTAAGGAGATTTTATAATTAATTCGGTGCTTATTTCAAATTACTGTCTATTCATACAATGGTTAATATATTTTTTGAATATGCCATTGAAAGTTTCATTTACTTAGAATTGTAAAAATTTAATCATATATTATACTACAAAAAATGCATTTAAGGATTCATTTTTCTTTTTCTTTTCTTTTTTCTATTCCTTCTTAAGAACAAAGAAGTGGTATAATAATACACGTATTTCTGTTTAAAACATATTAACAAAGAAGTAATCGAGTTAAATGTTAATAAGGGGTGGAGACATGTATTTTTAACATGTTTATAAAAAGGTATTAAACAATTTTTTTTGGTTTACAAAAACGCTTTGTCATTTTTCTGCACAAAGCAATTTTAAATAATATATTTTTTTATTTTTTAAAAAAAAAAAGTAAATCGAACATGTTCTATTTTTATAAATATTTTTACAAAGCATTTAAATTTCCAAAATTTTTGTAATACATACCAAGAAGCATCTCCTTTGAGCATACTTTCATATTTGTATACACTAAGATTGTGGTTACATTTTGTTACAAATATAGAGCAACACCTTATTTCTCCTAATGCTTTACAACCACCACATTTGGCACTATTAATATTGGGCTAAGTCCAAAACATCATTGTGTGCAGCCGGTAATATATACTACCCAATAAAATATAGAAAAAGAAAAAAAAACTGTTCTAACGAAAACTTTCAGACGTGCTGTATAAAAATATAATTTCTCCCTAATTTAAAAAACCTTGACGTCAATTTATATATATTAATCACACTAACAAATATTCAAAGAATAGAAGAAAAGAAAAAAGAGTTACGGCACTACAATTTATATGTACAAAGTAGACTGAAAAGAACATACAAGCTTCGTAAAATTCAAATATCTCAATAGAAAGTACTTCACAAAATTATTATTTAAAGTAAAATTTATAATAAAAAAGAAACTCTTTTTATTCTTCTTTCTATTTATAATAAAAGAACACTAAAAAATATGCTTACATTTTTTCTCATTCTTTTTCTTTCTTTTTTTTTTTTATATTATAATGTATATTATATTTATATCTTCGTAAATTTCTCTCCTCCAACCCTTTTTAGTAATAAGCTGTTCCTATAAAACAATCATAACACCCAAATATAATACTCAAACTATTTATGTTTACATTATATAATGTACAATTTATATATATATTTATAATACCTCATTTTTGTACTAATTTTGGATACATTGAACTGATAAATTTTTCATATATTTTTTTTTTTTTTTTTTTTTTTTTACATTATATAAATGCTCTGAGCTAAATAGAATTATTTATCCTTCTGAGCATACTAACACTAACATGCAAATTTAAATAATTTTTTATGCGGGTAAAATAATTAATATAACAAAAAAAAATCGGAAAATACGCGAAATACATTTTGTACGCTAGTTTTTATCTTAATTATTATATAGTTTTTTCATAATTTTTTTTTTTTTTTTTCCTTTTTAACATTTTATAAATGGACGTAAAATAAATTATTCTGTGTTATATTTTTTTTTAACTATTTCTTCTTTTTTTGTTTATCCCCAAAAGTAAAATGTTAAATAAAACTATCCACAATTGTGTATATAATATTATGTTAGTGTTGCATAAAAAAAAAAAAATTTTTTTTTTCAATATTTTATCTCTATCCTAATCGTAGTAAAAATAATTTATTATTTTATTTTTTTTTTAAAAAATAAAAAGAACGCACCGCGGTATATTTTATTACAATTTTGGAGAACTCATTAATATCGAAAATGAATGAAAGAAATTTATATATAAGTGATTAATATATATATATATATGAAAAAACATTGAATACATAAAAATAGGAGAAAGTTTTATATTTGTGCAGATGAATTTAGAAAGTTCTTTTATAGTTAGCACTTACGAATTTTCAATATTGACATTTTGTCAAACAGGGGAACCACACTAAAGTATTCTCCATTTAAAAAAAAATTTTTTTTTTCTGTAACTTTTTTATTTATGGGTAAAGCTTTGCAAAAAAATTACTTTTAGAATGAGAAAAAATTTTTCAGTTTTGTGCCATACACATATATGTATAAATATATTTTTTTTATTATTCCACATGCATACGACATTGTATAAATGCAAATTTTTATTTAGTTAAAGTTTAATGGGTATATAATAAATAAATTAGGACATAAAATAATTTTATAATTGTAAAAAAATAAAAAATATATTTTATAGTAAAAATGTATAACATAGGAATTGCAACTCCAAAATTAACAGTTACATTTATATACGTATAATAAATTATACGATTTTTTCTTTTTTTTTTGTGTTACTATACTGTACATGCTAAGGATATATACACAAATTCAATATGATGGAAAAAACCAGTAGAAGCACATTTTTTTCGAATATTTTTGCCATTACCCTATTAGTGTGGACATCGAACTACACCAATGAGGTACACTTATATTAACACATACACTAATTTTTGCATCTTTCTATGTTCTGTTTCTATGATGTATATATATGCTGCTTTTATATACTGTTTTTTTTTTTTTTTTTTTTTTTTTTTTTTTTTTTTTTTTTTTTTTTTTTTTTTTTTTTTTTTTTTTTTTTTTTTTTTTTTTTTTTTTTTTTTTGCCTCCTTCTCCACAGTATATCATTTCGCGTAAAAATTTTATTAATATTAATAAAATTCATATTTGTCATTAACGTATGCATAATTTTCTCATCATCCTTTTAGCGAATTTGTTATGATGGACAATTCAGTAAAGAAATGAATCTAATAAGCAAGTATGTAGATGGAAGAAAGAGCAGAATATTAGGCCAAAGGAAATATCCAAGTAATCGAAAAAATCAAGCATTTTTGAAAGAAAAAATAAGTGATCTAATTGGTAGTAATGATACAGATTCTGTAAACAGTAATTATTTTTCAATGGATGAAAGTTCGAATTCAGTTAATACATTTAACTCAGATAATGCTTCTGATATAGGTAATAATAATGATGATACTATGTCTCTGTATAGTGTGGATTCTTTAAATACAGCAGAAGCCTCAGAACGAAATAATGATGATACTATGTCTATGTATAGTGTTGATTCCTTAAATACAGCAGATGCCTCAGAAGGAAATAATGATGATACTATGTCTGTGTTTAGTGTGGATTCATTAAATGAAAGAAATCCCTCGGAAGGGAGTATTTCTGACACTGCATCTTTGTATAGCGTGGATTCAATAAATGATGCAGATAACTCCAAAGGAAGTACGCAGAAAAATAGCAATGCTTCAAATACAAATACTTTAAAAATGAAGGATCGATTTAAAAGGTCTAATTATGATGCAAATTCTATGTTAAGTGTAGATTCCTTGAACACAACAGATCTTACAGATGGCAGTGTTTCTGACAGTGCATCTGTGTTTAGCGTGGATTCATTAAATGATGCAGATAACTCCAAAGGAAGTACGCAGAAAAATAGCAATGCTTCAAATACAAATACTTTAAAAGTGAAGGATCGATTTAAAAAGCCAAATAATGATACTAAATCTATGTCAAGTATAGATTCCTTGAACACAAGAGATCTCACAGATGGCAGTGTTTCTGACAGTGCATCTTTGATTAGCGTGGATTCATTAAATGATACAGATTCCTCTAAAGGAAGTACGCAGAAAAATAGTAATGCTTCAAGTACAACTACTTTAAAAATGAAGAATCTCTTTAAAAAGGCAAATCGTGATACTAAATCCATGTCAAGTATAGATTCCTTGAACACAACAGATCTTTCAAACGATAGTGTTTCTAATAGTGACTCTTCTAGTGCAAAATCGTTTAGGACGAAGGATTATTCTATTAATACCTTAGATTCTAGTAATACAAACAGTACAGGCTATGATGATTCAATTAGTAGCAGTAGGAGACGACATAATAAAAGAAAAAATCGTTATGATAGTTACAACACAAGTGAATTATACATGGATAAAGGAAAATTAGAGCATGGTACCTTATATTCCTCAACAGTACCACTTCCGCTAGTGAAACAATCTTATGAAATAGCAGAATTCTCTAATAGTGGTAGGAGAAAAGGTCTAGTTGGATTTTTTAAAAAATTGGATAAAAGTTATGAAAAACAGTTTATAAAACTTTTAACAGACGATTATAAACGTGTTGAAGTAGGTCAAAGTAAATCTATGAAAAAAGCAAAGTTATACGCAAAGATTCTTTCACCAGTGGTAGCTAGCGCAACACTTATTATGTGGTTAATCATGTGTGGATTTGCAACCTCAACTATTTATGCAGGAGGTGTGCTCTACCTTGCAGCAGCATCATATGTTTATAGAAAATACAAAAGGAGTGTGAGTAAGTGTGATCACATTGCGCGAAGTATTCCCTGTCCTAGTAGAAGGGCAATTTCTTACTAGGTCCCGAAAAAAAAAGTAAGCAAAGAAGCAAAGAAGGAATGAAGCAAGAAACCCTCAACTTATGCAACATTTTAGCAAAATATCCTCTGTGTCATTGGTACACTGTTCTTATACCAAGAGCTTTTTTTGTTTTGAATAAAAAAATTTACATATTTACATAATATGTATCACAAAAAAAGACCTCTTTTTTGTATATATCACTGTAGTAACAATTTTTAGACCCCTTTTTGTATATATTTTTTTTTTTTTTTTTTAAAAAAAAACTATGAATATTATATTATAATATACTATATTCTATATTTTTTACTACGGCATATTATCATCATTTTAGCCTTAACTAAGTTTATATATAAATTGTTAATTCTTCATAGTTATTCTGTCAATTAGTGGATTCCATTTTTAATGATTTGTTCCTTTTACCTATTTTATTTTATTTTTTTTTTTTTTTCTGTAAAATGATGTAAAAAACGATTAACGTTTCTGTATACAAAAGTTGGTTTACATAATTAATATATTCCAATTTATTCTGTTGAATTTTTATTTATTTTACGACCTTTACCTAGCGCTTTTTTTTTTTTTTTTTTTTTTTCTCATCAAAATGTGATAATTTTTGTTTTTCGTAAAAACTAATTAGTAGTAACTTTATATTCACACATTCTCCATATCTGATTATCTTCATAACGTAAAAATATATTTGAACGCACATGTATGCATATTTAGGTATATATGTATATATTATGCATATATGAGAAACTTTAATTAGAACAGCTCTGTTGATAGAGCATATCTATCGATAAAAATGTAAAAATATTTTTGCTTTTTTTTTTTTTTTTTTTTTTTATTCCAACATTTATGTGGTATTTTTACCTTCCTTTTGATAATCGTATATACTATTTTGGTTCTCCCATATTTTTTTTGCAATTATATATAAGGATGTGCCCCGTTCTTTATATCATTTTTGTAAATATATTAAGTTAGTAATGCTTACACATAGGGAAGTATCACAAAGTAGACATCACACAAAAGTGCATTTATCATAACTGTTTCATCTACAACTTTTTAACTACTCAAATTGTTGCAACTATCATAATATCCTATATTTTCATAATCCAAGATTGAACAGGAAAAAAATTTTACATACTAATATAATCACTAAAAAATGAATAACCATTCTGAATAAGGCATATATACTTCCCCACCTATAATATATTATTATTACCATTTTAACCACTACATTTGTTACTATATCCAAATTTAAATATTCATATATTTGTGATTTCCCCTTTTCTGTATAGACATATGCACGTATTAACATTTTCTTTCAGCAACACATTCTACAGTGAGGTAAAATTTACAATAGAGTCTGCCTTATGATATAGTAGGAGATATATATTAAAAAATAAGTACATGTCACATTCCTCCGTACGTTTCCCATTGTTGTAATTTCAACTTTCCATGGTTTTACATTAACTCCACCACTTGTGTTACTTCTAAACGAGTATCATTATTAAAGTATTCAACTATATAGCTAATTATTTATGTAACAAAAAATGAATATTTTATCATCACCATATATCATCCCATATAAAAGTCCATGTTCATCAATTCAAATTCAAAACGTAGACTGATTGCATCAGTATAATAGATTAGGAACATCTTCTTTTACAATATTGGATGTGTAAACCGATAATAAGATAAATCCACTTCATCTTAACTAGTGAGGGGTTTATATCCAACTAGATATACTAAAAATTTTAATCTCATAAAAAAATTATAAACCATTATGAGTAAAAAGCTAAAACCTGCATTTCGAAAATATTTTCTAATCCTAACGCAAAAGACATATCAGCTTTTCCCTTCGAAGTGCTAGGAATTTTTCCTACTAAATGCTAACAAAAAAAATTAGATAATTGGGTTGGAACCTTCTAGCATTAAATAAGTGATTATAGTATCTTTGTAAAGATGAAACGAAAAATGAAAGACCAAAATGAAAGACAAAAATGAAGGACAAAAATGAAGGACAAAAATGAAAGACAAAAATGAAGGACAAAAATGAAGGACAAAAATGAAAGACAAAAATGAAAGACAAAAATGAAAGATAAAAAAATTATTTTCCAAAAAAAACAAAAACCTTGTTACGTCCTACTAGTACCGAAATAACCAAATTAAACAGATGTGTACTGCTCATGTAGAATGTTCAAAACAAACAATTGTGACAAAACGAGGAAAACAGAAATAGACCTTGGAAGTATTACCATTCTGCCGTATATCAATGTAAAACACAGGTTCAATAAATGATGCGATAAATTCTTTAGGGGATATACACATATATATATGTGTAAATATGTACATATATATCCATACATGTATGTTAAGCTTAAACCGTTGAGGCCCTGGTTCATTATAGAGAAGTTATACGAGATAGGGAAAAAAAAAAAAAAAAAAAAAAAAGGAATTATAACTAATAAAAGCCTTTCATTTCTTCTTTTCACTTTTTGATTTCATAATTTTCTCAATTATATAGAAAGATAAAAGATATGAGAGGCCTTTAAATTTAGACACTCATCTCCCAAAAGAATAGTGTCTAAAATGAGTGCGTTCTTCATATAACATATATACCTTATTAATCATGTATCCATCTTTATGTTGCAATAATTTAAACACACAAAACAGAATTTACGTCCAAATAGTATATAAGAAATTTCTCTTTTCTCATAATTAGCAATCATTAAAAATATTCTTACTCAGTTGGCTAAAAAATTATCTAAATAGTTTAATTAAAAGAACAATAGACATGCTTTACAAGCCTTATACAGCTTTTTTACATGTGCAATGGTGAAAAATGAAAAAAAATATTGTACTGTACATGCATATATATATATATATATATATATATATATATATATATATATATATATATATACATACATACATGTATATATTCACATATACCCATAAATATAATAAAAATGTATTTACAATGGAACATTTTAACATATGGGAAAGAAAGAAAAAAAGAAATCGGGCTAAAATGGCAAAAGTGGAAAAAAGGAAGTGTACAAAAAAAAGACAACTAAACAAGCACAAAAAAAAAAAAAAAATTAAAATAAAATAAAATGAAAAAAGGACTCTCGAATGCTGATAATGTGTTCTAGAAAAAATACAAAAAAACGTTAATTAGAGCGAAAATTAAAGAGAAAAACAAAGCCAAAATCAAAACGAAAACTAACAAATAAAATGTACAGGAGAGGGAAAAATACTAACTAAAAAAAGAAAAATATTGCTATAACATGTGGGGACTTATACACACCTACACTCTCTTCACTTCATTTTCTCAGTGTATGAAAAACGCACACAAATATGCATATTATTTTCAATGTTCCATATAATAATTAGATCAAGCTATTTCATTCTTTCCGCTGTATTAAATGATTCTTTAACTTATATGTCATTCTTCATCTTATCGAGAAAAAATACGACTCTACCTTATATAAAATTAGTATCTTGAAATTTCTTAAAAAAACTTTTCTTTTCTGGTTTATTTTTGTTTTCGTTTTTTTTATTTTTTCCCTTACTATCTTTATCCTTATTATCAAGTTTATCATCAGAAATATCTTCTGTTAAATCAAGTGAGCTAAAATTTAGATTAGTTAAGTAACCATAATTCATAAGTGATTCATAATTTGAATCATCATATTCTACAAAGTCATCTTCTTCATCTTCTATCTCTTTTAATTCAGAAAAATAATATTCATCTGGGAAATCAGGCAAATGCTTTCCATGACGAGTTTTTTTAATAGGACCCACATGTTTGGATTCTTTCCAGAATTTTTTTATTTCTTCCATTCTCACATCTGGTTCTACTTCTACAACATGTATATTATGTGTTTTTACCTCTTCGGATTTTTTTTGAGAATTTTTTGATTTTGTTTCTGAATTTTTCTTTTTAGAAGTATTAGAACTCTTGTTTTCAACATCTAATTTAACATTTCCTCCCATTAACACTCTCCTGATTTGATTCTGTTCTATCACGGTATTCTTGCATTCATCCTAAAAAGGTTGCCAAGAAATGTATTTATGATGAAGGGAAAACTGTATTCATAACCATACACATGCACATGTACATTGTGTTTGAGGAAGATTATGAAAATACTCTCGCCTTCCGTTCATCCTCTTTTATGCAGATTGATTGATACAATGACATTTCTCATATTTTAAAAACAAAATATGTATTCCATTCGTAGAGCTTGAAAAAAAAAGAGAAAAAAAAAAAAAAATCTTAATGCTTCATAAATCTCATTACTTCACAAAAATGTCTCATAAATGTTGAATTCTAACAGTAAGTATGGTATATGTCTATGCATGCATGTATGTGTTCTTACTTTACTGTAACTGTTTAGTGTGCAAAATAATAATGGAAGAAAGAGTGCCTTTTTAAAAGAGAAAAAAACATTCTTTTTCTCCTTTACTGATGTCCTTTTACTTAGTGCGGCCATTCCTAAGGTAGACAAATGTTGAAAGATAATATAAAGGTTTTTTGCAAATGAAAAGTGGTAAGTGTATGCATATATACATGTTCTATGTATATGCTATGTATATGTATTGTATTTATAGTGTTTTCTTTTTCTTCATTTCCCAATCTCGTGCTTCAAATATATAAAAGTGAGATAAGGAAAAATCTTTCAATTAGGTATATTTACTATTATTGCATTCACAACTTAAAAATACGAAGGGGATGATATGATGGAGTAAAAGGTACTTCAAAAATATTTTTCAAAATATAATTTTTCTTAATTTGATGAAAAATGTTTTTAAGCCAAATAATACATTGTTTTATTTATTTATTTATTTTTTTTTTTTTTTCTTCTTTTTGATTGTTTGTTTTTTTAATAAAAACATAAATAAAATAAAATAATAAAAGTAATAACAATAAAAGTAATAATAAAAAAAATAATGATAAAAATAATAATAATAAAAATAATGATAAAAAAAATAATAAAAATAATAATAAAAATAATAATAAAATAAAAAAATAAATTAAATAAAGAATATTTTAATGCTTGTTAGACATGCATTATACGACACAGCATGCATGTCGAAAAGTAAAGATCCTAATAGAACAAAACCTAACTTAAAATTTTCTATGATCTAACAGACATATAATTATATGCCAAAATGAACGATAAGGACCTCTATATTTAAAGCTTTGCATATAAAACAATTAACCAATGATTGATTATTATATAAATTCTCTAAAAATAAGAGAAATCATAAAATATGAAAATTCTTTATCCGGGGGGTTATTTTTAAGTAATCACAGGTAAAATATATAAATAACATATGCAACGCATATATATATATATATATATGTCATAAAAAAATACATTTTTAAGTAGTGCATCAATATACCAGTTGAGGATAATTCTACAGTTCATTCATTCCTTTTTAAGGCAAATAAATATGACTTGTTGCTTTTCCTTAAACTTAATATAAACAGTATTTTTTTTTTTTTTTTTTTTTTTTTTTTTGCATGTATTTGTCGTATTAACTTAATGCACAACTGTTGCAAGGTATAATATCACTGAAGCAAAAATACGGTTGTATATTGTAGTTTCAAATTATTCATGCTTACAACAAAAGTTTTTATTTTTTTAAAAAAAAAAAAATAATAATTTCTTTACGTTAAGAATTAAATATCATTTCACAATATAATAAAATGATAAAAAAAATTAGAAAAAAAAAAAAGTAAATTCCTATATAGATGTATATAGAAAAAAATAGTGACTTATTGGCTATAAGTGGAAAAATTTGTAAAAACTTACACTACAATAAAAAGGCATATTCAGATATTTCTTTCTTTATTTATTTATTTGTTTATTCATTCATTTCTTTTTTTTTTTTTGTTTTTGTTTTTGTTTTTTTTTCCCCCCATTTCTCTATTTGTTCATTTCTTTATTTCTTTCTTTTTTTTTTTTTTTTCAAATTTCATGTATTAACCGGGGACACTCTGCATGCATGCTTTACATTGATTCCATATAATTCGTACTACATAATGGAAACTTGTCATGTTCTAAAATATATTCCCATAAGTAAAAGTAAAAATAAGAAAATTTATTCATTTTTGCATTTCCTTTTATCACCAAAAAAAGCTGTGCAAATTTCAATACCAAATTCCGCATTAAGGAAAAAGAACGTATATTGAGATAAATTCTAGATATGTAAATAGGATCGGTTCACATGAGTAAATTGTTGTATCATTACAAGACTTCAGGAAGAGACAGGTGTATTTTTTTTCATAAGTGAATGCATACATATATATATGTACTCGCGTATGTATATTTATATACATACACTTTCCAGCTAAACATTTGATTCCTATATGAAAAAATCTACTGCATTTGACCTACCCCCCTTTAATCGCAATTATTATAGCACTATGATATGAGAAAAAAAAATATTCTAATAACTTTTTTCAAATCACATGGTTCTCTTTTGAATAACTTTTAAGATGTAAAAAAAAACCCTCTAATTTTACCACCTTGTATACTATGAAAAAGATATCTTAGATTCAATGAATAAATTATTCCTCATTCTAAGTGTACAAGAAGAACTTCTTAAAATAAAAAATAACATATAATATAAACAAAAATTCTACATTCTAGTAACGGAATGCTTATATATGGAACATATTTTTTTTTTTTTTTTTTTTTTGACATTTCTACAGACAACTAAGCTTCATATACTTTTGGTACTACATTTTTCCCTCTATCAACTATGACACGTAGTTTTCAAAGAGAATTGATCATACAATATGTATGAGTGTGTGACTTGTAAATTTTTCAAAATTTTATCAACTTCCTTATTGGTTAGTATAATGTAATATTGGAACTTTGAACATCACAAATACAGTAGAGGGGAAGGATAAATAAAATCGAAATAAATACAATTTAGTCAATTTTTTTATTCTAATTCGTTACATTGCATTTGTGGAAGTGCAACATATCTTTTAGTGCTATTTCCATATAAATAATGCGAAAGTTCACCCTTTTCAATTTTTGCACTTTTCCATCATACGATAAATCGAAGTTTCCATCATATTTTTTTTTTTTTTTTTTTTGTTGTTGTTACTTGCAGTGTATCGTTTGTTCCAAGATTCAACTGTGATTTCTCTAAAACACAGTAAGTAGGTAGTTTTTTCATTTTATAAAAATTTATCCATATTTACTTATAATTTCTCCTCAGCAGAGTAGTTCAATTATTATTCTCTCCCCCTCAAGACATTTTTATTTTATTATAATTACACAGAAAAAGTATTCAAATCGTTGTAGTAGTATCCAATAATTAATAAACCGCTTTAGTGTTCTTATATGAGTAATTACTTCTCTTATTTATGTATATACACCTGTAACAAAACTGTTAGAGGTCAGAGAACTTCCTCTAAAAACCAGGTATGTTCTTTTGTTTTTTTCAAATATTACTCAAACATGTACAGGATCTGTAATTTGATACCTATGTAATATAATGTAGCCGTTATTGGTTCATAATTCGGTGCATTCTACAAAAAATTTTTAAAAATAAAAAAACATAAATTAACAAGTTTGTCTGCAAAATAATTCGATGGGTGTTTTTGTATGTATAAAGGAATACATATCACGGTGGAACAACCATATAATTGCAAGCATTAGTAGTAAGTGGAACTTCTCAAGCCATACCTCTCATTTCTTCTTATTATAAGCATCACACACGTTTGATAGTACCCAATTGTTACAGTGCCATGATGACAGGCGAAGTAATAGTCGAAGGTACTTTGAACCATTTTATAGTTCCTCCTTTTTTGATCCAGACGTCTCAGTTTTAAATAAAAATTAAGAAATGTTAATGTCTCATTAGTAAGCCAAACATTTCGTTCAATATAAAATTAAATGTAAGAAAACGTGTAAATATCTGCACACGGATAATATGAAAAGTTCTATCTAGTGCAACCGAAAAATGGGAATAATGTAGAGTAAAAAAATAAATAACTAAAATAAAATAAAACAGATCACAGCATAACAGATCACAGCATAACAGATCACAGCATAACAGATCACAGCATAACAGATCACAGCATAATAGATCACAGCATAATAGATCACAGCATAACAAATCATAGCATAACAGATCACAGCATAACAGATCACAGCATAACAGATCACAGCATAACAGATCACAGCATAACAGATCACAGCATAATAGATCACAGCATAATAGATCACAGCATAATAGATCACAGCATAACAAATCATAGCATAACAGATCACAGCATAACAATCACAGCAAAACAAATCAAATGAAAGCAAAACAAAATAAATATAAGTACTGTTCTAATTAGGTAGAACAAAAATACTGTACCCTTTTTCACTTGGTCTTTTTTTTTTTTTTTCATTACCAAAACGGTAGCAATAAAAACCATGTTGTTATTTCGAATGAATAGCAATTCATTTTTTATGTGTATTCCAAAAGGAAATAACAAAAATAATAAATCACAATAGGTAAAAAAAAGAATTCCTCGTGTAATTATACCCCCTCCCCATAATAAATAAGCTTGTCTTAAGAGAGATGCCGATTAGAAAAATTTTCATTCCTTTAATAATGATATGTGCAAGTATAATTTTATTATTCAGCAAAATGAAATTAATTTTCTCTCATTTGCCTTTTTTTTTTTTTTTTTTTTATACAATACTAACTTTTTTTTTATATGAACTAATAGTAAATATTATGTACAGAATAACATGTTTTTCCTCTTTATTTGTCCATTTTCTAGAGATGCACAAGTGGTACACATTATTGTTCACTTCAGAAAAAGAGTTAAATAGTAAGACAATGGCCTTTTAAAAAAATAAAAAAGCATTCAGTAATATAAAATTTAATACCTTTTTTTTTTTTTTTTTTTTTTTTTAAATTGGCTTTATGTTCTATGTTTCTACATTAAAAAAAAATTAAAATTAAGGATGAGCAACAAAATAACATGATTAAAATTTTTTATTCTGTGAAAACGTAAATTAGTAATTATTTTCTCTTATCCGAAGTTATAAAATTTCAGAGTCCATAATTTTTTCCGTCTACTATTTATTACTCAATCCTAATAATGGATTGATAATAAAATAGTTACGCTAAAAAGTATGTCTAAATTTTCTTTCAACCTAAATTAAAATGAACACAGCCATATAAGAATTTATATACGACATTAAATTAAAAAAAAAAAAAAAAAAACTTGGAAGGCAACTTTACTCTCTCCTTTTCATTTAAATAGCATAAACAATATCTAAATATGTTTTTCCGCTTTTTTGTTACTTTATTTTTTTTTCCCCCCAATATTCTGGTATATAACAAAAAAGAGAACAACTTTTATTTCCTTATCAAAGCACTACAATAGTTTCGACATGGTATTTCTTTAAAAGGAAAAATCTTTTAATCATCGTTTAGAAGAATTTTACAGAATTATATCACCTATTTTTATTACATTATTTAACGTTTTCCTTAATATTAATTTTAATTAACGATATTACATTTTTTTTTTTTTTTTTTTTTTTATTATTTAATAAGAATTTTCAACTTGGTTGAAGGGAAAATTCTAATTAAGCTAAATGAACATTCATGTAATGCTTTGAAATGCGGAAAAACAGATTAAAAAAAAAAAAAAATCTTTACAAAATCACATGTGATGAATGTCACGACAAAGGGATGAAACATAATAATAAAAATATTTTTGCGTAAAATACATAAAAGTTTAACAAGTTAAAGCATTTTTTTTTTTTTTTTTTTTTTCATACAACACCACTGTGCCCCAGAATCTTCTCCTCATGACAGGACTGTGAGATTTTTTTTTTTTTTTTTCACTTAAAATTTACCTGAATATCGAATTAGAGAAATATCGTTGATTCGATGGAAAATCGAACATGTCATGTTAAATATTCCTTAAATGGAGTGTGACCCTCAAAATTTTTACACTGCGCAGAATTATAAAAGCGAGGGGGAATGGGGGATGGGGTGATTTTTAGCGATACAATGCATATTGTTCATATATATGTATAAATACAATATAGGTAAGTAAAAGACACGATAATTCACTCATGCTGACAAACCGTGGTTGAAATTTTGCCACCATTTACTCAAAATTTCCACCACGTCTTAGTGTATAATGTTTTATAATCGCTGCACTATTTATTCAAATGATAAATATTTTAAGGGACATGATATTTTGCAACATCGTAAGGAATAATCTTCTTTTGTAAATTTATATATATATATATATATACACTTCAAATGGAACACACTCATCCAAATGGATTCACCCCAAATTGATTACACACATGAAATGGAGGAAATAAATTATTCCACTTTTTATGCACGAATTTTATAATTTCTGCGTAAAACAGTTTCTCCTATTTTGATGTAAACAATTTAAATAATCCTTTTTCATAATATGCGACAATTTAATTGCAATGATAAATAATTTTATAATAAATTAAAAAAAGGTTAATTTTTAGATCATTCGTTAAGGAGAGACGCATTTGTAGAAGCAACTTCATATGCTTTATAACACGGTCAATCAAATTTTTATCATTTTATAGACACATTCACATCACCGTTATCACCGTTTTAATATTTTCAAAAAAAACTTATGTTTCTCTGTGTGTGTGTGTGTGTAATATGCATGGCGTGTACATACACGTTTATATGTGTGGTATGTGAAAAAGGGAGATTTTTTTTTGTCAGTTGGCTTTTATGCACAACACCAATTTTTATAAAGGTGTATGAATATTCAATACTATCGAAAGACAAACAGAAAAGGGGAATATAATTATAAAAGCTATGAAAAAATTGGAAAAAAAAAATTTTACTTTTAAAGGAACGTAGAAAAAGGTTTTGTACAATTTTATTACGTATAATTTTATTACATATAATTTTATTATACACAATATTATTACATACAATTTTATTATACACAATATTATTACATACAATTTTATTATACACAATATTATTACATACAATTTTATTATACACAATTTTATTACATACAATTTTATTACATACGATTTATTATAATTTTATTTTATTTTTTTACTTCAACAATGCAGTGCTTAATTACTCCACACTTTTAACATCGCACTTAATATAACTAGAATGACATAAAACTATTAATTCAAAAAAAAAAAAAAGAAAACATCAAAATAACACAACTGTGTGTGTACATAGACGTGGAATGAAAATTTTATAAAACATTACTAACACTTATTTGGTTAGCATATATTTCATCATACAATTTCTTAATACTTTATATTTATCTTTTTTCATCCCACCGCTTCCCTCCCCACCTAATTTTTTCTAGTAATAAAGCTTTATTATAATTTATAAGTATATATATATATATACTACTATTCCAATTTTAATTAATAAAATAGTAATTCTAATTTTTTACTTTCAACATGAACAAATAGTGGGCATATTTTACTAACACTTTTATTTGTGAAAAGGAAAAATAAAAAAAATCTAATAATTTCATTTTTTAGAAATGCTTTTCTTTTTACTTTCCACTTTCTAATTGCACAAAAAACTTTACCTTTTATTTTAGTAGTTTTGCGTGAATATATTATTTTTCGTAGGTATTATATTTTATTGTAATGCATAGTAGGTATGTATATATATATATATATTATATATATATATAAATATGTACCTCCTGTAAACCCCCCTCTTCTCACTATTTTATTGCTCATATTTTCGACAAAAAAAAAAAAATATATTTTTTTTTTCCTCAAAATTTTTGATCCTTTAAAAACCGCCAACACACCACCTTTATTAGTCAACCAATGCACATGGTAACATAAACATTTCTGATAATTGCAACATATTACCCCTTTTGGGTAACCCCTAAAATGTGTATCATAGAAAATAATGTTTAGTTATTTCATCATACATTGCATAAATATATAACGCACATATGATATTATATATATATATATATATATATATATATATAATTTGCAGATACATATAATATGTATAAAGCATGTGACTCTTAACTTATTTATATAGCTATTTCTCTACCTACCTATTTATTCATTCATTAGGTGTATAATTAATACATGCATTTAAAAAAAAAATTGAATTTTAAAATTTTGCTCTTTCCCCCTGTGTACACTTTTTTTTCATTATCAAAAAAAAGAAAAAAAAAAAATAGGGATCTTTTCTAACCCCTTTCATCATATTTCTTTCACCCAAACGACACCTGCACCCCGTATTCAATGGAATAAGTGGTATAAAAATATACATAAAATATAAAAAAATACACTAAAATGCATCAATAAAAAAAAAAAAAATATATATATATATATATATATATGATACATATACATATATGCAATTTACATGCGTTAGCGTGTGAAACGCGGAACTAATATTTTTTTGTGCATTTCAAATTTTTTTTTTTTTTTTTAGTTTTTATTTAATCCATTTATACACTTTTATGTATATATTTATAAAAAAAAAAAAAATACCATTTTTATTTTTATTACCTCTTTATTATTTATTATTTTATTTTAATTATTATTATTTTTTTTTTTATTATTATATAAAATACATCTATCTAAAAAATGTGAAATCTCTAAGAAAAATTTATTCTAAATAAAAAAATTTATAAAAGGTTTTTTACCTAAAACATATTCATTATTTACATATTTATTTATCACCACATCTAATAGGAATACTTAGTTTAGCATAAATGAAAAAAACATATTAAGCTCATTTCCTAATCTTAAAAAAATTTTATTTATTTATACACATAATTTTTCGAATCCAAAAACTTGAAAAGCAGCTTAGGATTTATTAGGAAATTAGAAAAACTGCGAAAATGAAGCATTACAAAGCCTTTCTTTTTACCTTCCTTGTATGGGCCTGGGAAAGCACAAAAAATGTAAGATCAGCAAAATTTTCGCTAAAAAAAATGTTTACGTAGTGATACGAATGTTTACGCAGTGATGATATTTTTACCTGCACTGAAATACTCTTCAACTTTCATTATATTCCCACGTCACACAATTTTTTTATCTCCATAATATTTGCTCCTATTTATGTATTTCCATTTATGCTCTATTTCGTAATCTCCTTTTTGTATCCTATTTTTTAATGCACATGAAAATATTTTTTATTCTAATAGCACCTGACACGTCAAGCATTACATGAGTGCACAATTTTAAATTACATACCATTTTTGTGTAGTTTTTACATTTTTTACACATTGAACACATTTGCCCATTTCGACCCTTTTCGACCCATTTCGACCACTTTGATCACCTTTTTTATAGGGTGGCCTGAGCAACCTCAATGGAGCAGATATTGTAGTGCAAAAGGAATTAGGACCTATTGCTGGAAGAATGTTACTTGAATATGATCGTCTGTACAATGATGATGCCAGTAGCGTATACACGAGCAGCACTAATACTAAGAGAGCTTTTGGAAATGATTTCACAAGTGTCTTAGATACAAGTGTTGATGATTTGAAAAGTGTAGCATCAACTGAAAGGATGAGTATGGATGCTAGTACTGCTGATTCTATTTTTGATGAAACTGATAAAGAATCATCAAAAATGGACGAATCTATGTCAGATATGTATGATGATGGTAGCAATGCCACTCTTGATTCTGCTGCTACATTGATGAGCAAAAGGGCAGATGCAGCAAGGAAATTCAAGAGCCATTTAAGCAATTCTGAAAAGAATAAAAGAAATACAAATATCGATTTGTCATATGATGACTTAATTGCTGAAAGACTAAAGGAAGTTAGTCAAAAGGAGAAGGCTTTGAGAAAAGAATTGTTAGATGAATCATCTATTGATTTAAAAGATGTTGGAAAGAGTTTGAAGAAATATTACAAGGAACGTGAAATGGAAAGTATGGATGATGTCACATCAGATTTCAATCTTGATGAAGAATTAAATGATAAAATAAAAGAACTTAGCACAAGGGAACAAGAAGCACTTAAAGATGTATTAAATGGATTCAGCAAAAATAAAAAATCCAAAGGTAAAGGAAAGCATGTTGGTGATTTCTCTGGATATCTTTTAAACTACAAAAAATCACACAGAGATGATTCCAATTTTGAAATTAATCAAAATGAAAGATTATTAAAAAGAATGAAAGAATTCAGCTCAAAGGATAGAGAAGCCATGAGAAGAATTTTAAAAAGAATCAGAGGAGCTAGCAAAAATGGTAGCATGGAAGACATAGAAAGAGAATTAAAATCCCTTTTAAATACCATCAAAAAGAAGAAAAACAGCGATTCTGATGAAAATATTGATGCACTTGTAAATGCCATAGGTGAATCTGTATTTGCAGATGAAAATTCCTCCAAAAAAATCAAAGATACAAAATTGGCAAAACTTTATGGTTCCAAGGAAAGAGGAAGAAAATCATTGGGAGACCTTAGATCTTACATTGATGAAAATATGGATGATGAACATGCAGAAGTTGCTCACATGTTAGTTAACAAAATCGAAAAATACAAACATAAAATGGCCAAATTGCAATCAAGAAGCAAGAACGAATCCAAATTCATGAAAATGAGACACAATCTCAAACTTAAAAAGATCCTCTTGTACGTTCCATTAATCTCTCTCATAACAAGTGTCCTCTTAGCTGGCCTACTTTACTACTATTGGGCAGGTCCATTAACAGTATCTGCAATATTCTTCATTGGTTTATTCAGTTTCATTGCTGGAACTACTGTATCTTATGGTGTTTTGGGAAAAGCATTGTTCAATTCCTCACTTAAAATCATAGACTTTTTGTTGGGTGGTCATGAAGAATTAGATACTGATCACTACTTAGTGAAGAGAAGAAAATACAAGAAATTTTAAGCAAACGAATCAAGCATAATATATACATATTCATACATGTACAATACCATGCAAAACATACGTGTAAAGTATACTTTTTAGCGTGTTGCACTAAATAGCAAGAAGTTATATATATGGTAATGTAAATATAGCAAGGTTTTTGATGATGCAAGTTTCTTGTTTGCTATAATTTGCCAAAAAATTAACTGTATATTAGTGCGCGCAAAAAAAAAACCCTTACCACACCTGTGTTTTTCCCCCTGTAATCACGATACATGTATGCTACATTCAGGCACACGGAATAAAGAAAAAAAAAAAGGAGAAAAAAAAAGAAGAAAAAAAAAGAAGAAAAAAAAAGAAGAAAAAAAAATTCCTTTTTACAAACAACATGAATCCATCTTAATGGGGGAAAAAAAAAATGCAGTGAAATATATAAAATTGGGTGATGTTTTCAAAAGTTCTACCATATTATCACTACACATCCACTGAGCAAAAACTGTACAATACATGAGTGTATTTTATACATTTATACATGTTTTTTAAAACTCAAATTTATATATATTCACATTTTTTTTATATTTATATATAGATCGTCTGATTTTTACGACATAAAAAAAAAAAATTCTTTCAACATAATTTTTTTTTTTTTTTTAAATTATGACACCATATATTATTACGTTTTACCAATTGCATTCATTTTTGTAACATATAAAATTTTATTTGCATAATTTTTTATGAAAAAAATCTATTGTCTCAATAGATCTAGTGACAATTCAAAGAAAAAAAAAAAAAAAAAAGAATAAAGAGGAGCTATAACGATCTAGCTATATATATATATATATATGTATATATTTTATGTATGGAACAGGGATTGGGTATCATTTGTTTAAAGAAATTTTATTCATTCCCAGCCTATGTTTAGATACATATAATATATGCTTTTATTGCGTTCGTACTTTTTGATGCTTTCATATAAATGTACCATATTATATATATATATATATATATATATATATATATTACACATTTTTTTTTATTTTTTTTATATTCATCCAAAGAACCCATAAAAAAACACCAACACAAACCTTCACACATTTTAACATAAACATTTTTTGAGAGTTCACATAATAAAAAGGTACCATTACTTCGAACATCAATAAGTGTGTATGATGCATTTGGAATAAACAAATCCTCTCGTTCCAATGTGTGTGTGTGTAATTATCACGTCTTCTCCTTGAGAAAAAAAAAAAGGAGCGGACAGATATATAGTGTGTGCTAGGGCATTTTAGAGGTTTATCACTTTTTCACATATGTCGTATATATATGTTAGGCTCATTTTTTTTTTTTTTTTGCAATTTTTTCCAGTTTAACTCCATTTCTGCCATTTACAGGAGTTATGGCCATTTTCTTCAATTTTCCATTTTTTTGTGATGGATTTAAAGGAAAAATGAAAAGCTCGTTCCTACTTATGAACAATTTTAAATTCGATTCTATCAACAAGCTGTTAAGACCTTTTTCTCTCTCAAAATTCCCACTTCCCCCAATCCCACTTGGAATATTCATTTTTGTTTCCAAAAATTTATAACATCCTGCCATCCCTACTAACGGACATGTATATACATAAGTGGGAGAGAGATACATACAATTTTTTTATCTATATTCTCATCCCTAGAACTTTGTAAAATCGAATATACTTTCATCAGAATATGCATTTTTCCTAGCCAATTTTAATGATATAAAAAGAAAAAAATAAATAAAAATTCTCAACGTTTAGTATCGTAGGACTAAAGGGAATTTATAAAAAAGGGATATTATATATAGCATACACTTATGGATGCATAAAAAGTATAAACAATTTATCCACAAAATTTTGTATAACAACGTTTTTTCACATTTTCACATTTTCACATTTTCACATTTTTGCCTTTTTTTTTTCATCTTAACAAACCATTAAATATTTTAATAAACCAACCCCCCCTCCCTATCTCTCCCTAAGATTGCCATAAAAAAGTAGGCAATTCTTGTGGGAGTTCATAAATTTCATGTTTGGTGAGTTGGAGAAAAACTTATAATACTATTACATCCTTTAGTTTTCTTTATTAAAAAAAAAAAAAGGGAAGAAAAACTGAGCACTTCTTTGGATAAGAAGAAACAAATTGAGGCTAAAAAGTTGAGGAAAAAACTGACAAAAAAGTTGATAAAAACAAAACAAAAATTCACGTGAAAAAGGAGAACCTTAAAATGCATATAATTTTATGAAAAAGAGAGACGGAATGGATGCAGGAGGAACGAATAAAATGTAGTCCCCGAATATTTGCTAACATAATTGTGCCCATATTATAAGATACAAAAAAAAAAAAAAAAAAAATTGATAGATGAATAGATCGAAAGAAAGGAGGGAGAGCGGAAACTATTCATTCGTGCAATCCCATAAAGTGTATATGATATATTCTCAGACAACGCAGAAAAGACATGTATATAAACAAACATTGGTACACCTACCAACCTTTCCAATATCTACTACCAAATGATATGCACACACAATCAATCATGTGTATATATATATATATATATATATATATATATATATATATATATATATATGCTTCTTCCCCCCTTCGCCTTTCTTTATATGAACACAAGGGAACCCAAAATAAGGTAAAACTTCTGAGGGAAATTTTAATTTCTCTAGTTTTAGATAATCTGAATAGGATGTGTTACTACTTTTCTTTTTATGTGCTCATAAACCTGTAAAAATATAAGGAAGTTCCACTTGCTAAGACATTCATTTTGGATGGCTTAAGATACTTATGATATTCTTTTTTTTTTTTTTTTTTTTTTTTTCGAGAGGTGTAAAAAAAAATGTGTTCATATAATATTGATTTTATTCTTCATACATATTTTTTTTGCCATGAAAGAAAAAAATAAAATAATAAAATAAATTAAAATAAAATAAAAAAAAATAACTATGAAAAGTATCCGAAGCGTTGTGATCCTTCAAAAGGGGTATTGGTTAGTATCATACATCTCCTCTTGCAGAACCTCAAATTTAAGAGTAACAGATGCATCCATTTTTTTTCTACTTGTTCCATTCTTTTCCTCCACTTATCTAATTTTTCAAATAAGAATTTTATAAAAACTTCATACTCAACTGGATTATCATTAATAAAATAATGAATTTTACTAAATTCTTGTTTTTCAATTTTCATTATTTCCTCTTTTATAATATAATAGATCTTATACCATAACATCACTTTAAAATCTTTGGAAATATTGTAACTCAAAGCGTGACCCTCAAAAAATTTCCATATATATTCTTCTCTATAAAAGTATTTTTTCCTTATATATGCATGAACATTATTCCACACATTATACATTTCATCAACACTAATCACACCAGATAAACCTTTAATCTTTTTAAATAATTCTTCCTCTTCTATGTCTTCCCAATCATCTAAATCGGACGTAACAACTGTGTCTGTTTTTTCTTTTGACACAGTTTCAGTATGTCCATTATCTACTTCACTCTTGATATTCTTATTATGTATATTTTTTGTATAAAATGAATCCCTTAATTTTTTTAGCTCTTTAAAAAATTCTTTTTTCTTCTTTTTTTTTTCCTTTTTTTTTTTAACCGTAAGACTAATTTCTTTATTCTTAATCTTTTTCGTTTTGAATAAGCTCTTTTTAATTTTAAATAAAAGTTCAGACAAATTCCTATTTTTAACAGTATTCACTAAGTACCTACATGCATGCCTATGTTCAAATCCATTTTCCTCTTTACGATCCAGCTGGTAACACCATATGTATATGGTTAAGAAGTAATAATTGTAGATTATATAGGAGAGTGTATAAATATGTTGATCGATAAGGGGGAAAAAAAAAAAAAAAAAAAAAACGAAAAAATAACTTGACAAAATAAATCCAATTTCAACATTTTTTACCTGGATATAGAAAAATAGCAGAACAAAAAGTACTACATTAAATAGTTTAGAAAATAAAATCTTTAGAACATTTTTTCTCTTATTTTCTTCTCCTTTTTCATAAGTTTCTTGAAAATGTTTTAAATTTCTTTCATTCTTTAATTGAATTATCTTCAATGGAAAGAAAAACTGTCTTTTGTACATTTTCACAATGTGAGTTCTAGATTTAAAAACGCATCAAAAAACGGATGTAACATGTTAGCAAAAAAAAAAAAAAAAAAAAAAAAAAAAACTATAATTATGCGTTAAAATTAGTGTTATGAAAAAAAATATAAGAAAAAGAAAAAAAAGTATCACAACATCAAGTATTCTAGTGCTGGAGACATTTATATATGCGCATATGTTTTAAAATGTTTATTCATATGCAAGTAACATGTATATATTATATATGCTTACCCATTTATGCATAGAACAACCCTAGAGCATTATTTGCACGATAAATAAAAATAAGAAAATAAGAAACACACGTAAATTGAATTTCGAACTAGCATAGACAAAATAGAAGTTAAAATTTGTACACAAAAAATGTCTAAAAAAAAAAGAGCAAATAAACTGACAAACAAATTGGCAAACAAATTGGCAGACAATCTGGCAAACAAACTCGCAAACAAATTGGCAAACAAATTGGCAAACAAATTGGCAGACAAACTGGCAAACACCACGTGGTTGGAGGATCCAAATATAGATTATTTCAAACCCAATACATAATTGTTCCTTTTTATTTTATTCTGTGTTTTATAATTTCTCTTCCTATTTTGTGGAGATTTTACTACCCTAATTTTGAATTTCTACGTTTTTATGTTAAATGTTTGGGTTGCAGTTAGGTATGTTTTAAATTATTTTTCTTTTATTTTATCAAATGTTGTCGCCTTCTATTTATTATTTTATTTCTGCTTTACCTCTTCTTTTCTTTTCTTTTCTTTTCTATTTTTTTTTTTTTTTTTTTTTTTTTTTTTGAACTAACCCTCAAGAACAGTAAACATTCGTTGGTAATGTTTTTTTTCATTCTTCGAACCTTTCGGAGGTAGTATGCATGCGTGGTCAAACCAAAAATATATGTATATATGCATGTATATATATATATGTATGCATATATAAATCCATATTTAGGTTGAGCAACTCGTTGCTTCCGCTTATTGTTTATTATAAATTTTTAGATTATTTCTTTTATAGAAAAAAAAAAAAAAAAAAAAAAAAAAAAAAAGTGTTTTTCTAGCCCCAACCTACTGTTGCAATATATTATTTATTCTAATATTGTAGATTTTTTCGTTTTAAAAAAAAAAAAAAAAAAAATTGACCCCCAACATACAATTAACGCATATTTAATATTACCAGATTGTATATTTTTTTTTTTTTCCTTTTCGAAAAAAGAAATAAAATAAAATAAAAAATATATAAATAAAATAAAAATGTAACGTCGTTGAATTCATCCAGAATACACTTCCCTCTCCTCCTCAGTGATATCAGTTTTGTCAATGCTTAGTTTATGAACTCCATAATTGTGAGAGGTTGTAAATTTAGCGCTTCTTCATGTATAAACCAATATATATAAATATGCATATGTGCATATCTACATATATATACACAATTATTCTTTTATACATTTGCGTTTTGCATCGTCACTATACATGTGAATAAAGTGACCTAACAACAAAACAGCTTAATCTCCCACAAAAGCCAATGGTGGTAGTACTAGGCTGCGAACGTTGCAAAATTTAGAAAATTTAACAAGTTTAGCAAGTTTAACAAATTTAACAAATTTAACAATTTCAACTAATTTAATAATTTCATCTAATTTAATAATTTCATCTAATTTAATAATTTCAACTAATTTAATAATTTCAACTAATTTAGCAAGTTTAACAACTTTAGTTAATTCCATTAATATAACAATTTCAACTAATTTAATAATTTCAACTAATTTAGCAAGTTTAACAACTTTAGTTAATTCTATTAATATAACAATTTCAACTAATTTAATAATCTCTTCTAATTTAACTTCAAAAAAAAAATTCTCTCTTTTCAAAATGCTAACAATATGGAAAAAAAAAAAAAAAAAATACACAATTTATTATGCACTCAAAAAAATTAGGTACCAATTTTTTTTGTCACATCAAAATGATGCCGCTTTTATTTCTAAATTTTTTCTCTTAAAAAGAAGAAAAGAAAAAATGAGAGTAAGAAATAGAGTGACAATTAGAGTAAGAGAGTGCAATCGAGAGTAGTGGGGGTGAGAAATCATTCATGCACTTCACAAAGTTGCTGCGAGCAGTTCATGAAAACTGCATGTATAGAAAATAAAAATCCTTCCACTAATTATGTTAGACATTTAAATACAACATAAACCTTGGTATAAAAACATTTCTGGAACCATCAAAAACGACACGCAGCTGTGTGTTTATGCGTATTTGCTTTTGTCTGTTTGTGATGGGGGTGGAATGGCACATCACTACAACAGACAACCATAAGTTAGCAGTTTGATAAAAATTATTATACAACTGTACCATAGGTGTCGTATAATTGTTTGATTGACTCATTTGCGAAAAAATATATGTTAGATCTATGAAAATGAAAATACTAATCCTTAAAAATGTTAATGTTTTTTTTTTTTTTTTCCCCACATTGGTATTTTACACTGTTTCGTAAAAATTAGCAAATATATAATGTTCCTTTAAAAAATAAGGAAAAAAAATAAGGACGAAAAATAAGGAAAAAAAATAAGGAAAAAAAGTAAGGAAAAAAAATAAGGACAAAAAATAAGGAAAAAAAAAAAAAAAAAGCTACTCAATTGATGCTTACGAAAACATATCAAGTCTTCAACTGTACCACATTATAAAATTAACTATAACTTATAAATAACCCTTTTTCTTCACATTCTCAACATACTTTTGATTATCATATCCCAACTAGAACGTTTTCAGGTCATCTACAAATTGATTTTCTGCACAGTGCATGATATATGTATATGTATATATATATGTATGTATATGTATATCTGTGTATGGAATTGCAGAGGCACCCATCAGACATATCTACGATGTCTTACGGCACCACCAGAACCCTCGTTGTATTCATTACACTTCCGTGCTTTAACAAGATCCCTAACACCCCTTCTCCAGTATTCAATGAAGTAGTTGCGCATCTTTCTCCTCCAGAAATGGTTTATTTCTACCCTCCGCTTACTCCAGACAGCTCGGGTTCTATTTATATAATTAACAAATTTAACTGGATCAGATGGCCCACGATCAAGAAACATGTGAAAATGTTTATGGTGCCTTTTTTCAAAACGCAGAAATACAGATGTCATACATCTATATACATGCATCCAAACCCTTGTCTTAACACTTTCAGGTATTTGACAATTGCTAGCTATATGGTCACAAAATTCCTTTGCTTTTTCTTGCATATGAATATATTTTTTTCTTTCCTGTCTATGTACATTACTCCAAATGATAAACATTTCATTAACACTTACAGTGTCATCCAAAATTTTAATTCTTTCATTTATTTCTTCTTCCGAATATTCTCTTAGCAAATCAGAATCTTTACAACCATAAGGTTGTGCTTCATATGGATACATAGACTTGTAGTTTCCTCTTCTCATCATCCATTCCTTTCTTCTCCACATATCTGCATACACAATTTCCATATCATCCATATGGATTGGAAAATCGTATGAGCTATCTATGAAGCTACACTCATTCTGTTCATTTTCATCTTCTGATTCTTCAGATCCTATGGTATAACATGATCCATCACTCATATCAGATAAGTCTTCATAACTCTCCGCCATTTTTCTCGTCCTTCTAATGTTATCCTTTTGTCTTGGTTCTGCCTGTAAAGTGGATTAAAAAATGAACAAAAAAAAAAAAAAAAAAAAAAAATTCTCTGCATGCTTAGTGCGTTACTTTTTGCTATATACAAAGACACAAGAAGAATAAAATAAAAAAGGAAGTGTATAAAAAAAAAAAAAAAAAAAAATCATCACATATCAAAGCGGTGCTTCAATAAAAAAAAAAAAAAAAAAAGGTCCTCACTTGGAGTACACAAATTAGAAGGAAAAGAAAGAGCACATTAAGAGATCCGAAAATTTTTAAGCCATTTATGAGGTTCTTCTTCTTCTCCTTTCTCATCAAAGAAGCAAAACTTTTTTTTCTGCTTTTCACATTATAGTCCCCAAAATTTTTTATTCTTAAAGAAAATATCCCGTAGCATGTTTCCATGTTTTTCTACATTTTTGTGAAAAAGAAAAAATCAGGAATCCACAGTTGTGTGTGCTGCTTACATAATAGGTGTCTTTGCATGTATCTACAAGCACATGCAGCGGCAGAAGTAGAGAAGTAAAGAAGTAGAGAAGCAGAGAAGTAAAAAAGCAGAGAAGTAAAAAAGCAGAGAAGTAAAAAGGCAGAGAAGTAAAAAAGCAGAGAAGCAGAAACGCATATACACGTACATGTATCTTCACATGCACATATTAAGTTGTAACTCACCAAGTGCTAAGAGAAAAACACAAAAGGGGATAATCTATGTGAATAAAAATTTTCTGTCTAAGGAACCATCAATAAAGTTACACTAACTTATCCAGGTCCTTCTCAAAAAGGATAACAGAATCAAAAGAGGCGCCACCACTGCCACCACAAAATGGAAAAAGAAAAAAAGAAGAAAAAAGAATATCGAATTTTTTTCAGTTCTTATTTTTTTCAGTTTTTTTTTTTTTTTCTGATATAAAACAAATCTATGTTTTTATTTTTTCTACTTTTATCTGGAACGTCGAATGTTTACTTTTTAAAATATTCCAAAAAAAAAAAATTATAATCTCGTAAAAATGCGATAAAATATAATAAAATACAATCGAGTAGAAACAAAACAGAATAAACTAATTTAGCCACGTGATGGCTGCAGAGAAATCTAATTTTTGCTCCTATTAAAACAGTCAAAATTTTTAACCTTTTTTCACGATAAAATTAATCAAAAAGTGCAATAATGAAAAAAAGAAAAAAAAAGAAAAAAAAAGATACAATAATCTAATAATGATGGGTATATAAGAGGGGCTTACTTTGTATGCAAACCCTTGAATGCATTTATTAATAGATTTGTTCTATTTTTTATATGCAATAGGAATTGTCGTTTTTCTCATATTATTTATTTTCTGTACGGCACTCCAAATTGAACATAATAGAGCACTATAAATTTATGAACCTCTTTTTTTTTTTTTTTTTTTTTGTCATAAAATGAATAAAGTTTATTTATGCGTCAAATGAGAAGAACAGTTGGCAACAAAAATATTTTCATTAATTACGAAAATATGTTTAGTGTTACTAATGTAGCAGCATTTATCACTCTCTGCAAGTAACATGTGATTTTAACCATGTTTAATTTTTACTTTTTAATTTTTACTTTTTAATTTTTACTTTTTAATTTCTCCTTTTTCAGTTTACATTTATGCGTAAAAAGAAATATATTAAGGAAGAAGGAGATGATGGCTCCTCGCCCCCCACACTCAAAGTGTCATAAAAAGTATCGAAAAATAAATATACTTAATTAGAGTGTATGTCTTCTTCTTCATCATTCCTATGGCCTCTGGTTCATCGCAAAGAATTTTTTTTTTTTTTTTTTTTTTTTTTTTTTTCTGCTTAACATTCGTGGTTAATTGTCCTAGCGCAATTTCTCCAACTGTGTCATTTTTGCAAGCTCGACTTTTCTCTAAGTTTAATAAAATTAAAAACGCAAGAAATAGTAAAAAAAAAATCACATTCAACCACCAGGTTATTATCATTATTATTTTTTCCCTTATTTTTCCTGTACACCCTCTTTTCTATTTTATACTCCAAAGCGTGTTGCATGTGAAGAACACGTACCTATTATTCTATACAAAACTACACTTATTGAAAGGGCAACTATTCATGGTAGCAATTGTCGGTGAAACATTTCCTATACACCTTTTACTACACTTATTTACAAGGTAGATAAAAATAACTTGAGTTTACCACACAGAGGGGAGGGGGTTATTATATATATCTGTATGATAATTCACAAGACTAATTTGTTTTTTCATTTACCACAATTAAGGAAATGTTAAAAAATTTTCTTCAATTTCTCTCAAGGAAAAAAATTTTTTTGACATTAGAAAAAAAAAAAATATGCACATATATAAAATAATATATCTCTGCGCGCACATATATATATGTGTGTGTAATTTGCCCATACAAAAACGTATGAAAAGGGGAAAAAGGAAAAGGAAGATATATAGTCATATAACAGTAATTATATTTAACAACACAAATAAAATAAATATTCATCTTTCCAATCATCTGCAACAAAAGGTATATCCTATCCCACCACACACACTTCCCTTTTTTTTTTTTAACCACGATCTTCCAAATTTATTAAAACATCCATTGGGATTCATATATAGCACATGTTTCCTAATTCGATTTGCCTCCATTTTAACATAATGGAGAATTTTAAAAAATGTATTATTCTCTATATCCATTTCGAAACATAAAAAAAAAAAAAAAAAATTGTCTATAAATATATATAAGAAGAGGTTAACGAGAAAATATATGTACACAAGGGGACTCATGAACGACAAACGACAAGGAAAGACAAGATAAAAGACAAGACACAAAAATAACACGTCACATATATTCTACTACCTACGAATTGTGCTCACAAAAGATAGTTACAAAGTAGGGTGACAGTGTGTGTGGGGGCGAGGGGAGTGAGAGAGTGAAAAAATTCTTCTTCACATTATCACCACTTCAAATTCTACCCTTCCAAGATAATAAAAAAAAAAAAAAAAGTCACTCAAAATGAATACATTTTTTCTGTGTGACATGGTGGGTCTTCTCTCTTGCTCCGCTAGTCATAAGGGATCTACTACCTCAGGGTACACACACCATAATGTTGCAAAAACACATTTATTAAGACTGTTATTCGGTTTGGTAAAACATCCATATATACATGATTAACCAATGTATATAGAGAAATGACAAATGATGTATTCGTTCATCCATTCAACAATTCACCGCTTCACAGATTCACTGCTTCACAGGTTCACCACTTCACAGGTTTACCACTTCACAGGTTTACCACTTCACAGGTTTACCACTTCACAGATTCACCGCTTCACAGGTTCACCACTTCACAGATTCACCGCTTCACAGGTTCACCACTTCACAGATTCACCGCTTCAACGATTCACCGCTTCAACGATTCACCACTTCACAGATTCACCGCTTCAACGATTCACCGCTTCAACGATTCACCGCTTCACCTCAGTTGGCATGAACCAGAAATCTTTGATAGGTGTCCAACCTGGTAAATATATTTTCCTTCCAGTAGCTATACATCACTATTCTAAACTTGCTGCATTTAGCCTTGTAACTATTTAAAAAATCAATAAACTTCCAACGGTCTGTTTTTCCATGTTTTAAAAATTTATGTATATGTTCAGCAAACATTTTTTCATAATGTAAAAATATTCGATTCATAAATCGGTGAGCTTTTAACCACTCCTGTTTTTTTACTTCACTTGGAATTTCAAAAGCATCAGATAAACAATCGCAATATGTTAATAGCATTTTTCTCATACTATAAAATTTTCTCCTCTCATGTTCATTTGTGTAGTTCCATATTATATACATATCCTTAACATCTACAACAGGTCCTAAGTTGTAAATTTTTTCATCTAACAATTCTTCAGAGAAAGGTTCAGAAAAATCATTATCTTTACAACCATATGAATTTTCCTTCATAGGACAGCAACCTACCTTACATCCATTCCATTTCCCTAATCCTCGCGTAACATTTACATTCACATCATGATCTATTCCTTGAAACATTCTCCCATCTAAATTATTGGGTTTACTAAATTGTAAATCAAATAATAATTCCCCTAAATGTTCATCAGAATTATTCTTCACACTATAACTCATGGCATTTTCCACAGGTTTTTCTAAACCATCTTCTTCTTGTTCAACATCATTCAAAGCATCTTCCACAGCATCTTCTACACTATCATATAACGAATTTTCCATACTATCATACAAAGAATCTTCCATTTCATCATAAAAAGAATCTTCCATTTCATCATACATGGAATCATCCACATCTATATCAAACGTATCACCCAAAGTATAATCCAAATTTCCTTTCATAATGTCATCCAAGGTGCCTTTAGCAATGTCATCAAAGTTATTAGTTGCAATGTCACCTCGTCTATCAGATGTAATGTCCCCAAGTCTATCAGATGTAATGTCCCCAAGTCTATCAGATGTAATATCACCCAGACCTTCAGATGTAATTTCGCTCAGACTATCAGATGCAACATCACCAAAATTGTCCAGTGTAATATCACCAAAATTGTCCAGTGGAATGCCATCAAAATTGTCCAGTGAAATGCCATCAAAACTGTCCAGTGTAATGCCATCAAAATTGTCAACTGCTATATCATCCAAACTGTCAATTGTTAGGTCATCCAAACTGTCAATTGCTAGGTCATCCAAACTATCAGATGTAATGTCACCCAAACTGCTAGCCACAATATCGCCAATCGGAATTTCACTCAAGCTTTCCGTTTCAGAATAAATCAAATCATCTTCCAAATCAATTTTTACATCTTCATCCAAATTATCTTGCAATAAATTTTCCTCTACATCATCTACAGAATCAATTACAGAATCATTTATAGCATTATCTCTAGAACATACCACATCATCATTTCCAGAATTTACCATACTCTCCTCCTCAATTACTTCATCCAAATCTTCAGCCTCAGCGTCTAAAACTTCATCCAAATCTTCAGTCTCAGCATCCAAAGATTCATCCAAATCGTCAACCTCAACATCTAAACCTTCATCCAAATCATCAACATCTAAACCCTCTTCCAAATCGACAGTCTCAGCATCTAAACTCGCATCCAAATCGTCATCCTCAGCATCTAAATCTTCATCCAAATAACCACCCTCAGCATCAATCAAGGCCACATCCAAAACATCTTTTTGGTCCATTTCTTCAATAGCATCTTCCAATTCCTCTTCAACCACAGGTTTCACCATACATGCAGCCTCATCTTCCAACATATCTTCCTGCACATCTTCAACCAATTCTTCAACTACACCTTCAGCTCTATCATTGTCTTCTTTATCTTCTACTTCTTCTTCTTCTTCTTTCTCTTCTACTTCTTTCTCTTCTACTTCTTCTTCTTTCTCTTCTATTTCTTCTTCTTTCTCTTCTATTTCTTCTCCTTCTTCTTCTATTTCTTCTTCATCCTCCTCTTCCTCTTCCTCTTCTTCCTCCTCCTCATCAGCTTCTTCATTTCCATCATCACTACTACCTTCATCATCAGCATCTGTACTTTCATCTACATCATCTACACTATGCACTAAATCCTTATTGACCTGTCCAATAATGTTTCTTATGTGCTCCCTGGATGTGACATTTGCCGGGCGCATTATTCCTTCAAAAATCTTTTCATTTAGATTTACATAAAGAATTTCATCAGAACTTCCATCGATATTATTACCAATCGTGGAGTCATTCGTAGGTTCAACAACAGAATCAACTGTGGAATCTACACTAGAATCAGCTGTAGCATCTATACTACCCACAGTCTCGAGTACAGTATTACTACCTTCAGCACAATTCTCACCACTGATTAAGTTCTTATCACCAGTACACGTATCCTCATTTGTTGATGGAACATTTTCGGATACATGCTCCGACAGAATTCTCATATGCCTATCCCTTTCATCATACAACTGCTGATTCTGTGGAATGAAAAAAAGTAATTAAAAAAGAATATATAAAATGAAATAATAAAAATGGTGCACTTTTTAGGATAAACAAGGTTGCACGTTTTCTCAGCAAAAGAAATAATTAATAGTGCATAATGAATAGTGAATAGCGAATAGTGAATACGGAATAGTGAATAGCAAATAGTGAATACGGAATACTGAATGGCGAATAGTGAATACTGAATAGAATGCAAATGGGCCATTTACAAACAATTATAAAATAACCTTACTTGTAATAAAATATATAAAAAGGCAAAACAAACTATATTAGATCGCTTAAAAATCTTAAGACTTCTCATGGTCACAAGTTTTTATTAGCTTCTTTTTTTTTTTTTTTTGTTTCTCCACCTTTTTACGTTTTTTCCTAATTGTTAGAAAGAGTGGATATATATTATAGATGTGGAGGCTAAACGGTAAAAAAAAAAAAAAAAAAAAAAAAAAAAAAGCGTGTTTTTTTTTGATTTTCTTCTGAATATAAATCTACATAATATGTATAATAGTATATACTATATGTGATATTATTAGAAAACGTCAAAACTGTCGTAGAGTGCCAAAATTGTCGTAAATTTTTTCCTTAACTTTTATATTCTTAAATTTTTCTTCTTTTTAAAAAAATTTTATTTTTAGAATTGCTAAAATACACGTAAGATAATTTTTTGCAGGCGCCTCTTCACATGCCATTTCTTTAAACATTTAAAAAAAAAAAAAAAAAAAAACGATAATAAAATATTAATATTAATAGAAAAAATTCCAGAAAAATAGAGAGGCAGCCTCATGCTTTATATATATATATTTCTTGCGTAGATGTAAAAAACTACGAAAGGGCCCCAAAACAACTTAAGTTTAAATTTATTGGAGAGAAAAGGTGAAAAAAAAAACATACAGAAATGATAGAGCACTGTTATATATGCATGTAAAAAGTACATATATATATATATATATACATACCACCGTTATGCCATAAATACAGTATGCATCCATATATGCTGAATAAATTTTGGGGTTCTATTACTCTCACCCCCAACCCCCACACAACATGATTGATTCCCTTTTTTTATTTTTTTTTTTTTACATATTTCACCATTCATGCATGTAGAAAAAAGTTTTTTTTTTGTACTACTAATCAAAATTCGCTAAAAAAAAAAAAAAAAAAAATGGAAATATATATTTCTAAATTAATGTTAAAATATTCATAATACATTACTGAACTTTCAATAATAATCCATTTTTATACATATGCACATTTTTGAGCCTAATCCTAAAACTCTTCACATTGTCCCCCTTTCCATACCTCCAAAAATAAAATGCGAACGAAAATAAACACAAAAATGTTGTCATAAATAAAAAAAAAAAAAAAAAAAAAAAAAGTATGACACAAAAAAATTATGTTAATAAATTATATTCCCGTGGTATATATATTTTTTTTTTTAATTATTTTTTTTTCTTTTTTCCAATACATAACTCTACAAAATTTAGGTGTAGTTTAAATTTCATGTAACATCAGTTCGGGCATTAGAACGGGTTTGAAGGAATGAGCACAATGTACTCATATATATCTGTACCCAAAAAAATATACACATAATTGTATACATATATATATACATATACATATACATGTGCAAATAAACATGCACACATAAATGTATATCTACACAGGTGGAAAAGAAGGGCATAAATAAAAACTATTCACTATATAAACATGAAGCTATTTAATTCATTCTCAAATTATGTCAATAAAAAACAATAATGTTTTCTGAAAAAAAAGTTCTAAAGAAAAAATACAACTGCATAAAAATTTATATTTTTATTTTTTTTTTTTTTTATTTACTTCTCCCTTTCATCTTTCCCATTCCTATGGTATGTGTATCTGTTCCCATCATTGTATATCCTTGCTTGTGATTACTTTTATTACATTTTCACAAGGAGAGTGAGGAGATATATGTAAAAGGTGAGGAAATGAATGAATCCGACAAAATTAGCCAAAGGGAAAAAAAAAAAAAAAAAAAAAAAAAAAAAAAAAAAAAAAAAAAAAGAAAAAGGGTTAAAAAAAAAAAAAAAAAAAAAAATAATAAAAGTAATAAAAAAAAAAAAAAATTATACATTCCGTTTTAGTCGTCGAATGGATATTTCTTTTTCCTGTCTGCAAAAACGTGAATGTTGGGAAAGAGTAAAAAAGTCCCTAGCCTTCTACTCTTTTTTTTTTTTTTTTTTTTTTACATCATTTTACATTTATAATCCCCCAAGACACA